AGTCGTGATGGCAGTGGCGTTTAGGGACGGCAATTTTAGTAATTTGATCATTTGTTTAATTTTTTTACTGATATTGATGAGAGGAAGAAGCAAGAACTGAGATTTTTTTTTTCATTTTAATGAATTCGGGAAATACTCATGTAGGTAAAACGTTGAATGGTTGACGACATTGTGAGAATAACTTTTTCTTCAGCTCTCGTTTCACTGTAAAAAACTGATTCTGAGAGAAATTTGCAGGATTATGAGTAAATTAATGTAAATTATGGACTATAATTAAAGATGATAACGTATTTTTGATTTTAAATATTCTAGCATCTTTATATTTTAGATTGAAATAAAATATTTAGACAATATTGTGAATAACCAATACTTTTTGATAATTTGCTCTTTATCAGGCTCCAAAAATACTCCTAGAAAATTCAGAGGAATAGTTTCAAAAAAGTTGAATATGAATTTCATTTGCTGTGCGAATTCATCGAGAATGTGACGTTGTTCAATTGATTGTTTATTTACAAATGAACACTTGTGTGGATTTATTAATATTAGACATCGGTCTGACTTACAGAGGTGTGAGGAACGTAAAAATATTGATTAAAAAATGTTTTCATGATTTTAAAGAAGCGCAAGTCTGAATGTTCACTTCTTTCCAGATTTTTTGATGCCACCAGTGACCAAAGGACCTTTCTGGCCTGCTTTTTTTGCTGCCTCGGCCAAGGCCTTCTGCTGCTCCTTCTGCTTCTGCTTGAAGGCCATGTCGTCGTCGTCCAGCTCCTTTGCATCCTTCTTAGGGGCCTTCAGGGGCTTCTTCTTACCACCGTCACGGCCTGACATGCTGAAAATTTGTTTGCCTTTAGAGAACAAATATCGATTATAACCAAAATTAATTTTTTTTTGTGCGATTATTAACAAAAAAAAATTATTGAAGTGATGGACAAAACGATTTACAAGCTATAAATTGTTTTATCCATCAACTCAATAAAGTTAATAAACTTTGTAAGGAAATCAAGAATTACTCATTGAAAAAAACAAATTTTTCTCAATTAATGCAGAAAAAAATAGAGGGCAATCAATGACTTTATCATAAAAAATATCAACATTTTTTTTTCGGATGATTGTCCCAACAAATGAGCACGCACATGTGAGTATGATGATCATATTTCGAGGTTAAGTTTAAAGATAGACGTCAGATTGTTTTCCTCGGCATATTATGATCAATTTATCAATCACAAAAGGATCAAGTGGTGTTTTGAATGAAATTCATTATCTGAGATAAAAAATTAATTGAAATTTCATGATTATGAATAACAATTTAGGTTACATGCAAAGACAAACGTCACTTGCTTTTTTTTTTTCAGTCAGTTTGCCGATTCTTTCATGTTCTTCATGCTCTTCGGACAAATATCATACTTACTTGAAGTTTTTGGAATGGAATTTAGTGAATCTTCGTATAGAATAAGTAAAAAATCAATTTCTCTGCCGTGAATAACCACATATAGGTATAATAAAGTTTCGTATATATACTGGCAATTCTGGCAATCATATGATTTTCTCGAGCATGCGCACAGGATAGGCTAAAGTAGCGATCGCAGCGCCCTTTTTTTCAAACTTTAAAATTTTTATTCTTTGAGAGTGAATAGATGGAAAAAATAATAGTGCTAATAGAAATAAGTATATTACGCAACAAGTGCGTAATGCATTTTTTAGCTCGTGGAGGGGTGGTAACACGAGCCGAAGGCGAGTTTGACAATCTCACGAGTCAAAAAAAACATAACACACGTGTTTCGTATACTATTTTATGTCATTGTCACCTACGACATAAAAAAAATTGTTCCATTTTTTATTTTTTCCGTTGTCTATATTCAACAAATATAAATGCATGCATGTATCAAATACTTTGAGTGTTTTTGTCATTTTATGAATTCTAACAATTCCAGATTACATTGACTTAAAAAGTACTTGCCGATAACTTAATACAACCATACTTCTATTGAATTTTTTGAATGATTTCACTATACGACTGCATTTCTTATTTCTACAGCTGGCATTCGTCAGGGTGTTTAGAAGGATATATTCAACCTATTAGTAACGTGAATTTTTACAAAAAAACTAATTTTCTAACTAGCGATTGCCCCCAGTGATCATACCCAATTTCAATTTGCTATCTCAATTTTTAATTCAATTATTGAGTATAGTATTCTGACAATATTACCAATAACGGAAAACCGGCAATATTTCACTTATTTTGTATGAACGGGTTTGCATATTTTCAATGCTCAATGTGGTGCCCATTGAGAAGAGTATTTTGTGAAAAAACAAATTGAAATTCGTTCAGTGTTTCATGAGATATTCAAGGAAGTGAATCCACACAAAAGGTGTAATATCTTGGGAAACGCTTGGCAAATTGTGCAGTCACAATAAGCTCCTTCTATGTTATGAGAGCTACAAATGCTTGAAATTTCAACTCACTATCTCTATTTTTTGTTAATTTATCGTGTTCACGTTTTTGATGATAGAATTGAAAAACAGCGATATCACGAAATTTTTTCTGAACAAGTCTAGATATATTGATTGATAAGGCTCACTGAGACAAGTATTTTGTAGACAAGAAAATAGAAATTCGTCCACTAGGTTTTCAGATATTGAGGAAAAACCAAATTTAAAAAAGTTGTTATACTTCAGGAATTACTGCAGCGATTATCCTGAAACAGCGCATCAAAGTAAAGATTAATCAGACCTATCATACGTGAAAAGCTTTGATTTTTTTCGACAAATTTCGTTGTATTTATGTCGAATTTTCTAAAAATTAATCTTCAAACGTTCGAATTTTCCAGGCCATATACGCAGACATGATATAAAAAAATGATTTTTTCACGTTTCGTAACATTCTAGACAACTTGCAATTGTAATTAGAGAATTGAAAAACCGGCTCAATATAAGGCTTCCATCCGAAAGCAAAAAATGTAAATTAGTGGCAAAAAACGTTGCCACTAATTAAATACATTAAGGAATGGGCAGTTTCAAACGATGATTTCTATCTTACATTTATTACCTCGGTAAACTATAAAAAAATTATTTTTGCTTCCGAATTAAAGCATTGCAATCGTTTGAGTTTTCGATTTTCTAATGTTGCCTGGAAATGATCTAGAACGGTCCGAAACGTAAAAATACGAAGTTTGAAGGCCATGTTTGTATGTGTAGATTGTCAACTGCTGGTCAATTTGTACAAAAGAAAAAGAATAACATGAGTAAATTGATTCCTAAACTATAATAGGTGCTAATATGGACTTGATCTGTACTAGATTTCAGCCCGATCGGTTGAGTAGTTTGAGTTTTAGAAATATCGGTGATTGCTTTTGGAAAGTTTCTTTGCAAATATTTAAGAAACTATCCAACCGTTTACATTTTTTATTCTTTTGAAATATTCGTCTCAATATACTCTCCATGGATCAGTTCCATGTTTTTTCGAAGAAATGCGTAATTAAACCTCTCCGATAAAAAAAAATTAATCCATCAACTTGAAATTTCGCAAAAAGATTCCTCCTATCAGTGCAATGTTTGGTATTGCAGACGGGCTAGATCGGATGATTCGTTCAGGAGATATTCAAATTTGTATCTGAAAGGATTTTCTCAAACGTCTCAAAAACGACTCAATTGATTTGGAGTGGTCTCATTTTTTGAGGCTTGTGAATTTTCTATTAATTTTCATTAACCACTTAAGGACAGGGCTTTTTGCCACTAAGTTCGCTGCTATCCCAATATCTGAAAAGTTTTACAGTTCAGTAGTTTGCCGAGGCACGATGTTCTGAGGGTCAACTTTGCTTTTTGTTTTTAATCAATCATGCGGTTGCCACCTCCAACCATTTTTATTTAAAAAACTTTCTAATCCGTAAAAAGTTATCCAAATTTCGAAAATTTCTATTTTAAGTTTAAAAAGGACAATCTCAAATAGAAAGTGACTATTTTGCAGCCACTTTGTAATCTATACACTATAAAAATTTCCACAACAACTGTCGAGTAAATAGACCAATTGAAATAAGTAGTTATTTTCATGTCTAGCCGTGAAAAACAGACCCCTCCCCACATACAAGATTGACAAATGCAAAATTCCGAGCTGATGGCGAGGCCGGCCAGCATGTGAGGAAAGGTGCATATCTTTTCAAAAATATATCGATATAACGAGCGGCTCGTCTATTATGCGCAAAAATTTCAAATTTTGTATGTAATCACCAAATCATTAAATTTACTCGCGAGTCTAGTATTGTAGATAACATTTTCAAGCCTGTAAAAGCTGTAACTGTATTTCAAGCAACAGTCTATTTAAATGTTGAATTTATATTTAATTAGAACGCCATCGTTTATGATGTAGTGATTATTTTTAATACAACAATAGCTAATGGAAAATGACTAGATAGTAGAGCGGCTAGCCATTGGTTAGAAAATAATCGAATCTAGTTTGAAGCAATATTTTGTTGGCTTTGTGACTTTGAATTTCTCAAATAGTGTACTTATCTCTTATCGAAAGCTTGGCGGATATCGAGTGTCCATGAGTGGGGGATATATGGTGAAGTTCATTGTTTGATTACAATCATTACAATACAGCATATTCTGATATCGTACATAAAGAACAGAGACTTAACCTTACTCTTTCATACTGTGCGAGGCATACGAGGCATAACAGTAGTTTAATATCCAACCTTATATTTTCTTATCTCATAATTTATAATCGGCCCAAGCTCACGAGATTAGAAACCTCTCACATCTATTATCAATTTTTTTAGCACTGCACTCGCAAAATTAATACCCATCAAATCTGTCTGGTAGATTCTCTAATCATAATCGCAATGCTCCTTTAATACAACAAGAAAATAGACGCCTTCAGTGAATAATCTCAAAAAGAAGCATAAAATAGTTAACAGCCTTTTATTTATCAGGCACAGAGTGAATTCTAATGTCTTTTGTGAATGAAGTTGGTCAATCCAATTGGGATACTTTGTGTAAATTGGCAAGTGCTAATAGCGATTTCTTCTCCTCGCATCAAGATGAAAGTGGATTAAGAATTTGTTCAGCACATGTTGTAGTACTCGATATAATAAGAGAATTACGTCCACTGTATGAAGAAATTGCAGCAATTGCTCCCCGATATGATTTTGATGAAAATACGCCCGGTAATGGCTACAGAAGTTTTATTTATCTTGTTGACAAATGTATTGAACATTCAGAGAATACATGTCAACAAATCTATAATCTCAGGGAATCTGTGCTGTTCAGAAAAACAAATTATATGAGGTAACACTTTATTGATAATGATTTTTATTGGTTTCTCGTAAATTAAATTATTTTTAATTATAATGAATTATTTTCGAATGATAAATTGTACTGTCATTTCAAATCACAATTTTTAAACAAAGTAATGCATTTTAATTATTTGGGTTGGACCAGGGAAATCGAGGCCTGCTCTCAGCTCATGGCTTCCTTGAATACTTTTCTACATCACCTGAAAACACTTCATACTTGGAGTGAATTGGGAATGGATAGCAGACCTTCCTTATTCCCATCCGAGGAGCACAGCCCTCAGGAATTATTGGATCAAGCTGGAGACATCGATCAATACTCTTTTTACGGGAGGTGTTTAGGTTTTCAATTTACAAATAGTATAAAATACATCATGAAGACAATACTAGTATCTATGGCCTCATTCAGTGAAATTTATTACACAAATGGATCATTTTTTGGTAGATGTGCCAATTCATTGAAATACGTGATTGATCCAGAAGCACGTGCTCGACGAATTGTAAATATATCACAAAGAGGAGACGTATATTTCTGCAAAGCTTTTTGGTATTTACATGATACTCAATTATTTCAATTTGTACCATTTTTGATGCTCCCTAAATTGTCCATCAACCAAGTTATTTCGATACCACCGGAACAACTATCTCTACCTGCAATCGATGGTGGTCCTGATGTCCAAATACCCATTCCATGCAGTCATATTGGAAAAAAGTCCATTCATGTAAAACTCTGGAGTTCAAAGCGTAGGATAGGAATGGTGGGATCAGCAAGTGCTGGTGGTGAATTGCACGGACCATCTGATGTACTTTTGTTCCATTGTCATGGAGGTGGATTCGTAGCAGATAGTCCAAAAGCACACGAAACCTACCTCAGAAATTGGGCAGTTGCTCTGGATATACCAATAATCAGTATTGATTATAGTTTATCTCCAGAAGCCCCATACCCACGAGCTCTCGAAGAACTAGTATACACCTATGCTTGGGCACTACAACATGCCAATTCCCTCCTTGGAACTAATGCCAAAAAAGTAATACTCATCGGTGATTCTGCTGGTGCTAATTTAAATTTGGGCTTGACTGCTAAATGTTTACAGCTGAATATTAAAAAACCTGATGGTATTTTCATGATTTATTGTCCAGTTCTCGTTGAATTTGTACCTTCTCCTTCGCGAATGCTTGGTCTTACTGATCCATTATTACCATTTGGATTCATGATGCGATGTTTAAAGGCTTATGTACTCGGGGACTCTGTGCTAGATAAGAAGGATAAGGAGAATGAAAGTGGAGAATTCTCAAAATCAGATAGTGAATCATTTGCTGAAATTTCCGAGAGTGATTTAATTGCCATTGCTCTCAGTCCCCATGGAGATAAGGCTGATGAAAGTCAATTGGCTTCATTACCATCTGATTCAACTTTGAATTCTGTCAGCTTGGCAGAGGCTGATAACACGCCACGATTAGAAACCACCAAAAGTGAGGACAAGAGTGAAACCACTTCCCAGGAGTATATTCGGAAATTTTTAGATCTTTACAAGAACGTTGGATTAAAGAGAACGGCTACGGCTGATGACAAAACCAATAGTTTTGATAATTCTGATGAAAAAGCTACTTCAAGTTTTTTTGGATTCTCCTTCAGCAAGAATGGAAACCAAGCCAGAGAGCTCGATACTGCCTCTGCTAAAAGTCCTACTGAAGAATTCATATTTACTGTTCCAAAAGACCCCTATTTAAGCCCATACCGACATCCTGATGAAGTACTTAGCCAACTACCACCATGCAAAATAGTTGTCAGTATAATTATTATATTCCCATGATTTTCGGCAGTGCAGGGTAGAGTAGAGTCCAGCGTTAGAATGCATGAAAGTAGCGGATAAATGATTCAAACACTGGACGCTTTACTTTGTAATTCAAAGATTCGAATAATTTTATCTAAAACTTTTTATAATTTTTCTTATACATGCAGACTTCTGATTTGGATCCTTGCTTAGACGACTGCGTCATGTTTGGCAGGAAATTGAAAGCCCTTGGAAACTCGGTTTCAATAGATATTCTCCACGGCCTACCACATGGTTTTTTGAATCTAGCTGTGGTTAGTATTAATTATAGCAACCCTTAATAGGAAACAAAAAAATTTAAGAGAAACATTTTACTTTATAAAAATATAATACTCATCAAATTGACATCTCTTTAATAACCGTGTAAGTTTAAGTCCATGTCAATCTATTAATATATTTTAAAGTTACGTGGATTCCAAAAAAAAAAAGACTATTATTTTTGGTTTTTTCGGCCTTCTCCATACATTTTTCTTTTAAAAAAGAAAAAATAGTTTGCTAATTTTCAATGCAAAAATGTAGAATTAATTAGAAACGAAAAAATGAATTTTTCGTTTGTGAGTTTTCGCAAATGTCAAGTCAATTGATGCTTATATTCAGTTCAAATAGCATTTTTTGCCCTTACTTAACTTTCTTTGCTTTTTATCGAAACGATATTTTTTCTTTTTCAGGTTTCTAAAGAGGCAGCTGAGGCATCCGAGCTCTGCATAAGAAAAATCAAGGAATTGGTGGATATGTAACTGAACGTAATTGAAAATATTTCCGTCTGTCTTTCGGCTAAAGAATATCTTATTCAATATATATTGCCAAAAAGTGAGAAGAAAATCAGAACACTGAAATGGAGTAGGTGTTGCATTTATTGTAGTTAAATATGATTAAAAACGGGGTGGAATGCAGAACATCGATTTCTTTATATATTCAAATGTAATTTTCCTTTCTTCGACTGTGTTATATTTCTCCTAATTCTCGAAGCGTCTAGTTAAGGGACGAAATCGTAATTAATTTCTTCAATTATCAATAATCCATGGAGGAATATAAAGGCGATATAGATATAACTACGAGAAGAAGTTTTTCAAGGAACATTATAAAAAAGCATGTGTGATCTTATGTTCCATTTCACCCCTATTATTTTCATCAATTTTTTCGGATCGAAAAGACATCTTGTTTTAAATGGTGGGAGGTCGAGTTCTTAAAACGCCATAGATTCCTTAATCTAGCCAAAAAAGCCGAAATTGCTATTGAATGCATAATCTATGAGTTTTATGTTTATAATAATCGATTTGCTTTGCGATGTTTAATGAGAATTGTCCGTATTTCTCACTCCCTCCACTGAGTTTTATAAATTGAGCTCGCGAGGCCTCAGAAAATTATAGTCTGTATGATATTTAAATTTACTTTTAAAATCCATGGTATCTTACGTAATATATATTTGAAGAATTCGAATTTCTGCATTTGGGACAGTGGATTTCGATCGGGTGCACTAACGCTGGCGTGAAGCACTCTCAATTAGGAATTTCATCATATAGACTATGATTTGTTCAGAACACACAGATGTTTTAATGGCACCGAAAGACATTGATTTATTGAGCCTACAGAATGGTGGATACAAATTATTTTTTTTGTTGCTTGCAACGAATTTATGAATAATATTTTTTATACCCGATGTTAGTGATCACCAGATCTATTCATCATATATTTTATTGTGAGGATTGTATTAAGTTCGATAAAATAAAACAAGAAATTGACCAAAGGAATTTCATATAAATCAACGGCAAGATAAAATCAATGTAGAAATACAAGAAAATTTTATTGACATTTTGTACAGCAATGATATGATCCAAATAAAACGGAAAAAAATGAAGATGAGAGATGGGAATTAAACTTAGAAACAATGAAATAAAAGAAAGAGAGGAGCTAGAATGTTAATTCTTTCATTTACTGACTGGATGTTTGATGGTTTGTGTCAGATTGTGGATGCACTGTTTTTTGTAATACATGTGCGTCAGCAGGTTCAATTCTCTTATAATATTGTTGCTTCGTTGCTACAATTTCAAAGCCAAACTTTTTATAAAAGTCAATAGCTCCTTCATTGTTGACTTGAACGTGTCTGTATAAAGAAGTAGATTGGTCAGTCAAATTGCAGTAAAGAAAGTTAAACATGCGACGGACGCGAGTCTCATTTACTTACAAGAATATGGAGTTGAAGTTCTCATCTTTTTTAACATAATTTAAAACGTGTTGAACCATCACAGTACCAATACCAAGTCTCCTGTATGGTGACAAACAACCTAGAGTCATTATGTATAATCGTCGTGCATTCTCAGAAGTATCCACACGGCAACAAACAGCGCCAACCTATCGCCAATTAAACAAATAAACTATTTATTTATTTATTTATTTATTTATTGTTGTAACATTTGACATCAATATGAATAAATTCAAATTGTCTGCAAAAAAATTTCTTAAATCTTTGTTGAATACATATGTAGCCCTGTTCATCAAATTAGTCCGCATTAAAATCATTATAATCCATTTACAAGCAATGAGAAAATTAATATAAATTATAAAGTATTTAGATGAAGCGTAATGAATGAAAAGATAATTTATTATCCTTCCTTTCTAGTTCAAATTTAATTTATTTCCTGGAGATCTTAAGATATATATTATGTAATTCTGGGAAATTCGTCAGCGACTATTTCACGGAGGGGACGTTGGCAAGATATATGATAAATTGTCTAGTAGGGGGGAGAAAGTGGCTAGTCATGTTTGCGTAGAACTGACAATGACTTTAGTTGGGGGTGGGATGAGTTGTCGTTCCTCGTGGCTTTTTTCGCAGTCTCGAGAAAAAAAATTGCTGTTCTCATTGCTTTAAAAAAAAACTCTCATTCCTGAAAATGTCACTATTTGTCGAAAAGACATCGATGTCGATATCAGTGCAATAGTACTTTTTGACAATTCAAACGAATACGAATAATCGTTGGATTCTCGGTAGAGTTCATAAACATAAATATGAAATGTATGACATGAAATGAATTATTCCATTAAGACGAGAAAGTGTAACTAGCCTCAATAATTTGGCGTGGATTATACATTTACCGTAAATGCAGAAGAGTGAAAAATCATGCTTATACATAGCACTTACATTATTTGACTTTTAAGACGATGACATACTTATTTAGTGTTAATGTAAAATATCCCTGTGGACAACAAATTCGATGATAAAAAAATTCGAGTCGAACTCAGCGGGTTGAGAATGAAAGGAGGAATTTGACAAATAGAATAGAATTTAGGTGGAGGGTGGGTCGAAATGGAACAGTCGGAGAGCCAGAAATGCTATTTCAGAAATGTTCTTTGCTTATTTGATTTTTATGAACTCAATGAAGCGGTTGAATAGATGTTTCAATTTGCTTCATTTTAATAACAATTATTTTGGTTTAAAATTTCACAGACAAATGTTTATTCGAAGGTGATTCGATGTGAATAATTAGTGTATGAATTTTTTTAAGATTGTGTGTTTACTAATGAACTTATCTAGAGATACTCGATATTTCTCAAGTATTTGTAGTATTACATTCAAAAATTATCTCGCACGAATTTTTCGGCGTCGTGCCTACATGATATATTCATTGGGATAATTGGGAAATGAAATTTTTTCAATCTCAAATTTCCACCTTTTATTTGCCTTTTTCGGTGAACCTAATTTGATCGATCTAATTTCTTAATTTTTTTCCATCCTCTTTCATACGCATTTGATAGATCACTTCTCAAGTATTAAGATAGAATTGAGTAGAAACTATGCGAAGGGTGCCAGAAAATTCAATTTTCCATGCAGTGAAATTGTTTTTTTCGCTCATAGAAAGGCAAAAAAATTATAACGTAAAACAGAAAAAGGGTGAATTCTCACCAAATGAATCTAATTCTCACGTTCTGAATTAAAGGAATTCACCTGGCTCCAAAATAGCATTGGACAATAATAAATCATTAAAACTTGATCTACAATTGATTAAAAAAAATATATTACCACAATATCATTGTAGTAGGCCAGTTTGGCAAGTTCCCCAGCTTCTAAAACGTCCTTGTAAAATTTTTCATTGTATGAAACTGGGAATACTACTTGATTGAGTAGCTTTAATTGCTTTATATTGTGCGGTGTTACGTCCCCAAGCTCGATTTTTGCCCTGTAAAATTATCGCTCCATTAATCTTTTCGATTTTTAAATTACGTGGAGAAGAAATGAAAAATCAGGTAGAGAAGAATGTGGAAATTGGGTTAGAATAAGTTGTTCTGTTACGGTTCATGACACACTTTTCTGTGTAATACTGTACCACTGATTTCATAATAGGAAGTTAATCAGCAGAATGACAACTTTAATAGTGATAAAATTTCCATTGAGCAGATGAAGAACATTTTAGTATTGAAAAGTACTTGAAATTGAAATATTAACCTCAAAATGTTCGAGGCATCAAAGCAACTTACCTAGTCATAATTGGTTATTGTCAATTCAGTGTTGATGTATCAAGTTTCAACGAATAATTAATGTATTGAGCCTATTATGGAGAATCGGAGAAATTATGAATCCATCAACGATTTTCCCGGCAATCTTGGACCGCGCCGTAAATTTTCGGCTGTTATAAAGAGAAGGCTGCGAATTGCCACACACACATGGAACAAGTCATTGGCTATATTTTGCAGCGGCATTGGGGACAGCGCCACGCATTCCGACCAATTTGAGGCGGGATATTTAAATTTTAGCTGGATGGACTTGATTGCATATTTATCAATGAGTGAAAAATTGCAACAAATTTCGAAACCAAAGGGATAATGGACGATATTTCTTTTCGGTATACTTATTGTATTGATATTAACTTTCATCATTTTCATGATTATTATATTGATTTAAACATTTTGAAACTATTGTACGTCCGAATTTGATTTCGTCAGCGTTTACTCCGGAATTAGTTAACATTCATTTATGTATTCAATGGTTATTGCCTTGAAAGTTCTTGGAAGTTCATGAAATTCTATTAGCAAGGTCCTAGGTGGAGCAAATTTAGAACAAAGTATTTCAAAAAAAACTATATGGTGATAGTTTTACAAAATAATTACTTTCTTTTTAAATAATTGGTTTTTATTTTTTTGTATTTTTCGATTTCAACGTCAATTATTATTGCTAGAGGTATAATATCTGTATAGATGGAATCACCGTCATTTCAGCTTCACAAATATTTGATTAATTTTGATGCCCGAGGGGTATTTGATGAATTATTTTCCCACCCGAATTTTGGTCAGAGTGCAGTACCATCATCCAGAGCCACCGAAAACTCAAAGAATAATTTGGTAATTGGTATAATAGAATAAATGAAAGAAATCCGGTTTTGTCTGGAATGACTGACGGAATGATCATTTATCTGTCATACAGAATATTCAATGTGAAATGCTTTGACAGTGAATTTCCCTCGGAATTTTTTGTCCAATATAGATGCACTTTTTCCATGTATAGAGTTGGGAGTTTTTCAGAGTTCTGTAGAATAACATGGAGAAACAGAACTGCTACCAAGGACTGACTTACTTGAGCCAAGTATGCATTTTCATACAAATAAAAATCTTTTAAAAAGGATTAGCCAGGAATGAAGATTGATTGCAGATTATTCCCACAGTTTCTGAGAGTTCCGAGAGGAATTGTAAGTCCCCCATACAATCTACCGGAAATATGTAAGGAATCGCCGCACCAGAAAACCGTAATAAAATAAATAAAAAATAAACCATAAATAAAAAAACTAAATAAAATAAAAAATCGTCTTTTTGCTTTCGAATGGAAGTTATGTAGTTCGATATAGTTCGATTTGACAATATTCATCTGAAATGCCTAGAAATGCCATGAAATATGAAGAAATTATATATTTTTTAAATATCTGTGCATGGGTTTGTGTGTGCAAACTTATAGGGAATTGTCCAAAACTGTCTCATATTATTCGAAAACGGTAAACGCAACGTCAACGACTTTGAAATTTTAGCTTTCGATTGGTATTTTCATTTGTCAAATACCTATATAGCTGAGAGGAGAGAAACCCACTTAATTTAGAATAATGCCGTTTTATTTTCATTTTTCTATTTTTTGATCAACATCTACTTTTGTGTATTAAATACAGTTGAAAGTAGAGGCAAACTTAGGAGCCAACCGCTACTATATTCAAGATTATTACATTATACTTCTATATCAAATATCCTAACGATTTCTCAAAACAGAACAACGAAATAATGTAGAAAAATAATTTATGTATGATTGGTATATGTTATAGGTGCCATAATTTACACGCAGAAACAAATTTAGTAAAAAATTACCATACCCCTTGGTGATTGTGTTGTGTTTGAGCCGTTTCGAGGAAATAACAGTACTGCTTAGTAAAAATTGTCGACTCTATAAATTACCTAAAAGTGGGTATTGTCGAGAATTTTTAAATAATTGTCAGTAAGCAGGTGGCACATTGTACCAAGCAGTATAGTAATTTTAGTGGAATGTTCACCAGAGGGTTAAGTAATTTCTCATTTTACAGTAAAATTGGTAGAAATGGAAATAGAAAAAAAAAACATATGTAGCCCTTATATGTCAACTATCATATTGCTGTTCTCTCACTGCTTGTTTTCGGACAGTTCATAAGAGACACTTTCATAACTCTTCATGTATGAAGTATGTCCGCAAGAAGGTCAATGTTTTCTTCTCGAAACCTATTATTTTTCAAAACTCTGGGAAAAATTAAATAGGAGAAACACCATCAAAAACAGAAATACTTAATTTTCATATCAAATAACTCATTTTTTATTTAGGGGAGAGGAGGATAAAATGGATCTCGTGAGCAGCAACTCATTCCTCAAAAATTTTCAATATACTTAAATGACTGACCCTTACCCTCAAAAATATCCACTTAAATTAGTTCAACACGTCGGCGAAACGAAAATTTCGGGGGGAAGGTGGATAAAATGGACTTCTCTCCCTCTCAGGAGCTTTCTTTCCAATGGTCTCGAATTAACTCGTCGTGACTATAAAAAACAATTAATTTCTTCTTCGTGCGAGTAGTGTTTAATCTCAATCAGAAATCAGTAGTATCAAGTATTTATCAATCGAATTGAGTATACAGAATTAAAACTCTGTGCTAACTACTTAGATATAAAATTTAAACATTCATCAAAGCATCAATTACTTCGCCCCTACATCTTTCTAAAAAATTAGAAAAAAACTTGGAAAATATAAAAAATGGGAGGCTCCATTCTACCTTTCCCTCCCCAATTATTAGAGGGAGTCGAATCTGAATTGGAAAAAAAACTATGCCTAAGCCGTCCCTATCTCAAGTTCAAAGGGAACGATTTTTTTGGGTTATTTGTCTCAAATAAATCAATTTGGACGAAGAAAAGATTAATGATTATTATAATCCGGAGATAACTGAATTTTTACAAGAGGAAATGCGTAACGTAATAGTTATGACGTGCGATTCGCGACCCCGCAAGTAGTTGCAATCAAAGATATGTCAGGCATTCATTTCTACTTTGAAATTATTCTGATGTGCTTGAGTTTTCAAAGTGGATGTAATCACTGAGTACGTTCAGAGGCTTTTATCAGCGAAATTCCTAATATAATTAAAGAATAAGGTAGCCAGGGTAAGAAAAATATCTCCAATGTTGTTACTTAAATTGGTGTTGTAAATTGGTTTCGAATATCTTTCTCCGATTACAGAATGACCAGCTGTATTATCAAAATCAATGTCAATTTGATGCTTTCGAAAAAAGTCATTTTTTTAAATTCGAAATGACATAATGAATTTAGAATAAAAAACATCATCGAAGCAGGCCAATTAGAATTTTAAGTTTATTCCATCATATACATTATTATCAACGATGTTCTTTAACATTATTTATGTTTTTTTTTTTATTTTCGGAGAATCCGGCTATCAATCTATCTATCAAAAAAAATAGTGAGAAAAGAGTGGAATATTTTTTAATGGAAGTCCAACTGTTCTAATAGCTTTTATATGTATGAATATTCCGTAAACATAAATGTATGACGTACAGAATCCCCGCACCGATTTCAGCGTTTCACTTGACAAACAAGTTAAGGTTGTTTAACAAATAAGCAAAGATACATTATTTCCTGCAAATAAAAGCTAATAAACTAAAAATTAATTTTTTAAATGAATGTCAATAAAATAGTTGGGCAGAAGTGACGCAATACACCTTGCAATCGAAAAAATGAATCATTCTTTATCGGTTGCGTGTATCGAGGATATTAGGACGAAATCTCACCTGACCGTTAATAACAAATATCCGTCGAAGTGAGTAGTATAAGAAGAAAATAAACTGGCCGAACAATAAATCTTTATTTTATCGATTAAAACCGTGATGAATGCGCATGTCCATCCTGTACATGAAGGAAAAACTTTTTCCTCTCTTTTGTACAAGCTTTTATTGTTTAACATAACAATGCATACTCATGGCTTTCGCTTAAGTTTATGCAACAAGAAAAAAATCAATATTATATAGCAGCTGTGACAACAGGAAATATGCAACGATAAGTATGGACATAAATAGCCGATTGATAGGCAATCGTGTTTTTATTTTTCTCCACGTCCACAACTTATGGGACAAAAAATGGAAATAAGAATTGATGCAAATAAACGTATTTCCGGCGAGGGAAGAGTGGGATGATTTTGTATGACTAACGCGTAACGCAATGCAAAGCAGGAGCACACGTGTAGGAGCGGTGAAGAAGATGAAGAGGATGAAGGGATGAAGGAAGAGGTGGGGAAGAGGATATCCCATTGAATGAGGGGTGGAGAAAAAAATTGCTAAAATTGAGGAATGGCAAAGGGATGAAATTGATGTGGGGGATACAGCTGTGTATTTAGCGTGCCGAGGTTTACCGATTGGAGTCGAGAATGCTCGAGGGTGGGTCTCTCTCTGGAAGTAGTCTCGGCTCGTGGCCCAACTCGATGGGATATGGGATGGCTGGGGCAAGAGCGGCAACAGCGGCGAGAGCGGCGAGAGCGGCGAGAGCGGCGAGAGACCAATGGCAAACAGGAGGAAAATTCACTGGCGCACGTCCTGATAGTCACATCAGAGCCGCTCGACAAGGCGGTATCTCCGCCGAGTCTTTGTTTTACCGATTACCAATCCATTTATCAATATTTATCACTCACAATAAATAATACATACAATACATTTGATAAGAGTCCAATAACATTGAGTTCTAATAATCAATTCGTTATAACTGAAGAGAAGTATTCATTGAACATTGGGACATTGGCAATTTCCACTCGGAGAGATATTATTAGCAGTTTAGTTGGATATAACATGCAATCAGTTTGAGGTATTTTGATTAGTAAAAATTGAGAGGTCACGAGAGTGCGCATTGGTGGGCCTCATGACGACAGCAGGAGTCTGGGTCAAACACGGGCGAATCATGACCCAAATCAACCAAGACATCACATGGTTCCATGGGTTTTCCCGGTTTCAAAGTCAAATACTTCTTCGTAATTAACAGAAAATTTATGTAGGAGGTTCTTATGTCGCAACTTTTTCTTTCGTTTTCATTCATCTTGTGGATGACTAAGTGGAACTAGGTTGCGGTTGATAACATCCTCATGTATACCGTGACTCATCTATTTCGGAACAATTAGAGTAATTGAAGTTGAGGGGAGAAGGATCAGGAAATACATTATCCAAAACATTTCACAATTGACAATCACTTTACACAGAATTTCCGGGTATAGTCCTAAAATTCTTAATTAGAGTAGAAAAGTTTAAGTGCCGTAAGAAGTTTTTTCATCGTCAACGACCCCGTAGCATGAGAGTTTATTGGTGAGTTTAACACTTTTTTATTATTCAATTGTCCACATTGTAACAACTATTTACTCATTGAATTATTATGCTCTTGGTAAAAGATAGCAGCTTTATGGAATCAATATATTTATTTGACAAGTACAATTATTTCAAGCAGATTAAAGATTAATATCAACGAATAACGAATGACGGTCAATATCTACAATTTTTTTCTCCTTAATCGAAGTTTATATTGTGCTCGAAAATAATGTGATAATGATAAATTCAAGTTAGGATTCACACAGAACAGACGCGCTAAGAAAGGGCAAAGTAATGAAAAAGGAGAGATGCGGTTGTTACCCACGTGTTTGCCAATCTCGCATTGAGGTCGTTTGTATTTTTCTTTGCGGGGCAAGATCTTTCATTTTATATCCCTAGACTAGATCAGAAAAATGCTACAGACTTTCTTGCGTTGTCCTAAATGACAGAATGTGCACAAGCTCCCGTTCATAAGAAAACGCTTCTATATTGAAAAAAATCATGTCAGATTCATTTAGGTGGGAAAAGTGGATCTTTTCATAAAATCTTATTTGTCCAGTTGTGTTAACTCCGGGTGATCTCGATTATATGTGTAACTCGATGGATGATTATTAATACCCTGTTGGAAAATTACACTTGAAATTTCAAAGAAAAAAAAATTGTAATTTTTAAGGACAAAGTTACATTAAATTTCTGTAGAATTCTTCATTGCGAAATCAGTTAATTTTTAGAATATTCGAGGAATTCTTATATCTTTCAGCTCAAATTATGGCAAATTATGGCAACAAAGGTCATATTTAACATTTTTTCCAATTTTTGATTGACTAAATAGCATGGATTAAATTTGTCGCAGACTACCAGAAACATCTCCTTTCACCAAATTGCTCTAATAAACTTTCCCTTTAGTTATTCATGATTCATTGGAATTATCCCATACAACTGCTATTATCATTAAATGTTATAACTAAAGTAAGCTGAAAAATTTCATAAAAATACACAATTATTTCCGCTACTCTGTACACATTTCTGGTCAATACAAAGAAATAAAGTTCAAAAACTAATTTTACATTTCAAGTCCCCAAATTTATAGGATTGACTACCTGTTTTTTTTTGCTCCTGAATTGAATTAGATGAGATAAAAAACCTCTTGTAGCCTATTCCGTAATATAAAGGATGTCCCGGAAAATTCATCCTTATAATTTAAGCAATAGAAAAAAAATTCTTGAATACCCCAGTACTACTTAATCTGAAAGTAAAGACGTCACACGAAATATATATGTAGCTCAAATCCGTTTCAAATTAGTTTTTGAACAATACCTCTGAATGCAATATAGAAATTATTTTCCCCTAAAAGAAACATTTTCCCAAGAAGGGAAGAATATTGTGCTCCAATCCTGGGATGTAAGAATAAGATGACGGGATAGATGAATCCGGAAATAATTCCTCAATAAATGTCTTTAAATCTACGATAGATGAAAAGATTTTTAGAAAAGTTTTTTTGTGACCTTATTCTGGCATTCAAAAAATAAAATACTAAAATTCATTCTCTTCACCTATCTCTTTTCTATTCCCTGTTCTATTTTCTGAACTTCTCTGTGTTCTAAGGTATTCTTAGAAAACTCATTCTTTTGGATAACAGAATTCCGTTTTTGTCATCATTGCCATTGACTCACTCGGTTCAACTAACGGCAATTACGTATTTTACTTTTTAAAATTTTCCAACCAAATCCATCTTTCATTGCATAGACAGAAATATTCATTAAAAATTGTGGAATTTAATGTTTACTTACCGATTACGGAAGTGACTAACGAAAGGAATACTAGATCGATAGGTCTGCTTCCAATTTTTACGGAGCTTGCACGGAGAAAAGTGAATGGTAGATAAATAGTATAAATATTAGTGATGATTGTAGGTGACTACTTTGGATTAAAATAATGATTAGTGGAAGGGGTAACGTGGGGTTAACTAAAGTCTTTGAGAACAAGCAAAAGGCAATTTTCAATAGCAGGGATTTTACCATAAGAATATTATTAATATTATTAATAATTTTTATCATGTGAACTAGTAGAAATTACATTGGTCTACATAATAATACCTAATACTATGCGATTATAGTAAAGATCACAATTTGCTACATCAATTACGCGGAATTATTATGGGATGCTTTACCATTGTCGATTTGTGTAAATGCTACGCTGAGAATGAAATTTTCTTTAGCCAAGGATATTTACTAACCACAAGAAAATATATTTGGCATTAGGAAGTCTAATGGGAGTATTTACACAGTGATCGCCAGATTTACTGGTGCACATCGGGCTATTTACCGCATACTCCTTATCGTAGCAACTACTATGTACTAGAAAATTGTATTTTTTATTATATCTATCGAGTCCATTACCATCGAAAGTCTTATCATGCCCCATTGCAAACGTTATTACAGCATATCTAGTAAACATTATTGAATTATAGTAATTCTTACTAGGCGTGAATATGCATATTATTCTCTCTATTATGGCTTTTTTCTCCGCCTGAAAATATTATTAAGGACTCAAAACTAGGTGCCACGTATTTTTTTTGGTCGGCCTATAATATGACCACCTTCCGAAATTTTTCCTTCAATTGCGCATATAGAGTGAATATTTAGAAAAATGTTTTACAATATAACAAGAAACTCAGAAAACGAAAAAATCATTATTAATTATAATGCTCATTATAATGTGCATTATAAAACAGGCGGGCGTCGTTTTACTCAATTTATTCCGTATAATGAAACAAAATCTGAAAAATTAGTTTTTTCGAGAGTCAATTTAACATTGAATCTAATAATAATTCCGCGATTTTTAACATGGTTTTTCCACATTCGCTGATCCGAGAGAAATAATGGACAGTCTTAACTACTACTACAGTAACTTGAATAAAAACACGTACATATTAAGAATGTTTCACACCTATATATAGCCAAAATGTACGTTTTTAAAATTTTGTCCGTACATCATTGATGGGCCTGATGTAAAAAATATAATGTCTTTGAATGTTGTCATTATTTAGAGGCTCGCGAGGTTTTGTGGCGACGCGAACATTTTCATCCATTTTCTCTACAGTTTCGCAATTTTTTTTTAAAGTTTAGAAAAAACGGAGAAAAATATGCGCACCACCTTGAAACTTCGTGGGTCATTAAAGAATGACAAAACACAAAAACGTTATATTTTTTACTTTTTATTTTCATTTCGTTTTTTGTTTTAATTTTTTCACGTCAATCCCATAGTAAGTTTGCTCGAAAAATAAGAAAACGTTAATTTTGGATATATATGGGTGTAGAACATGCGACCCGCATGCCTTTGTGAATGAATGCTTGGCGAAAATAATGTTTTTCCTCAGCGGATGCCTTATTATTTATTATTCGTGAGGTGTATAAAACTATCAAGTGGCTCTTGTATGGAAGTATTCTGTAAGTCTATAATGGCCTCAGTACATGGCCGCAAGGTTCATTACTTAAGACGAGACACCAATATTTCATAACATGCATGCCAGATATTTATAACCCCGTGGGGGAATTTTAAATAGCATTATTAGATGGATCATATGAGGTGTGGAAAGTTGTTGTGGATGGAAGCCTTACCGTTCACGAATTTATATGATATTAGAACGTCGTGAGAATGGAAAAAGTTTCACGCGCACAAATATTTTACGTTGCGTCGAAAATAGGGCCTCGCTTCATCCATAATGCTATTCACAATTTTCTCATGATGTCTCAAAGATGGGGAATGCATCTAATGAAATATACAGGTTTCCTCCTGATGAATAGACTCCTCTGCTTTGGAGGAGACAGGGGCAAAACAGACATCTTAAGAAAAAAAAACAATTTTTTCTCGAGAAAATATGCTTATTTATGAGTATAATATGAGTATTTTCAAATTTGTTGATGAAAATATTTTCTAGGGCGGGTGGAGGCAAAACGGACACCCTCCAAATTCATTGGAATATTCATTAGATTTCGTAATTCTGCATATATTTCCTAATTGAAAAATTCAAACTGTGACGGCTCAATTTTCATTCATCCGAGCGCGATCTATATAGTTACGACTATACTCTATAGTACTCCATTATCCATATAACCGTTTAATTCGGGGTTTTTCACGATTCAAACAGAAAAAAATGATTGAAAAAAAAAATCTTATGGTGTCAGTTTTGCCCTGAGTGTCCATTCTGCATCCATCTCCCCTATATCAAAAGGTGACCCGCATAATATTGCATATTAGTTCATAAGCACCTTAACAATGACCTGCCTTATATTATAAGGACTGAAAACTGCGTAAAGTCTATATCTGCTCGGAACGAGAAATTCTTTATAATAGAAAATCCAATTTAACGTTTTTTTTCATGTTGGATGTCTGCATCAAGAACGCTATATGCGAAATTATTAAACAAATATATAGTTATATTATTAGTGAGTGTTTTGTGATTCTGGAACGTCATTTTGATTGAAAATTACTAAATAAATCTGAGTTGATTCTATAACAGAAAAATCTGCATCGTTCAGTAAATTTTCGGGTCTGTCACTAAAAGATACGTAATTTTTCTGGAAGATGTAACAGATATGTCACGAAGGATGTTGAAGAATTTTTACGCATAACATTTCTTAACTTTTATGTGTTTTTTGGTGTAATTTCTATTGAAAATTAGACCGTTCCTCTCAGTGCATACCAAACGTATAACGCAAATTTAATACATTGATGTTAATTCACTAGATAATTCCCTTTTTTGCTATTGCTACCAATTCCCTGGTAGGAGGCATCTTCTTCATAACAGCCAAACAGAAACATTTGGGTTTTTTCATTTAATTTTATAACCCATTATAATAACTCTCTTTCGTCTGAGCAATTCATCACTTATGGCGGTATAATGGATAGATACTCAATTAAATCCAAATGATATGATTAATGTTTTTTTTTCAAAGATTAGTGAGAAAAAAAAGCTGCCTCCTGTGAGGTTTGAACTCACGACCCCTGGTTTACGAGACCAGTGCTCTACCACTGAGCTAAAGAGGCGAATTTTGTTCAGATTCTTTTGCGTGTTCAGTCGTATTTGTTTTTTTTTATATCTCCTATTTCTCGTTTTGAAAAGTTCAAATGAGCTTCAAACTCGCGATTTTATTATTAGTATCCTCATAACTTTAAGATGATTAAGAATTTATGATTATGAGCATCAAATCTCGATGAGATGAAGAAATTTTTCAATTTTTTTCGGCGAAATCCAAGAAACTTAAGAATTCATCTATTGAGTAAAATTATGAAAAAGCGGTGGAAGTTGTATTTTCGATGTGGAATTCTCCTATCTATTAGGGGGAAAAAAGAGGAACGTATTTATACTTATAAATGCGGATGAGCCGAAAATGTTATCAGAAGAATTAAATTTGGAATTAAAATGTAAAATAGATGCTCCAAAAAACGAAAGTAACTTTGGAAATTCCTCTTCGGATTTCAGTTTACTTTTTTGGCGCATACGTTTATAAATTTAAAAACCGATATGTCAGTAATAAACCCTTTTACTGATCAGGTACTATGACTTGAGTTACTAGATTTAATCATCATACGTATTGCGACGTTTGAAACTACAAATCAGTCCGATAGTTTGTGAGATTTACAGATTGTCCGATTTTTATTTTGAACTTTAAATCGCCAATGTTTAATCTTGAAACTGAAACACAATATGATCTAAAAATTCGAATGTGCGTTAAACATTTTTTTTCAGTATAAGTGGTTCTTAGTTTAGTATGTATTTTTTTGGTAATTTATCGTAAATTGTGTCCTCAAGATTTTTTAATTCAACATGTATTGTGAAGATTAAAGCAAAATGTTTTGGAATTTTCTGAAGATGTTGCGGCTTTTTTCAAATTTTTAAATTCCCCCATCGATTTAAACGCTTCAAATGTTTTCTAAAAAAATGAAAAAGTTTATCAATAATAAATAAAGGATTAATTATTTCAAATGTTTGTAACAACAATGAATTAATTTAGAAGTGAAAGAGCGAAAAGAAAATTCAACTTATTAATCCATAGAAATTTCTTTACAAATCTACAAATTCCGTTTCTTATCCGGTGAACGCAGGCGGGAAACGTAGGTGTAGAAAAAATACTCAACAAAAAATATTCTGTGATAATAAAATGATTAATGAATTGCTCGCATGTGGTTTGCTATTGTCACATAAGGTTGTTAAAATTTACGAGCTATTTACGGACACTTGCTCATTTGGATAAGGCAAGTGAAGCATGGATCGCCCACAGTGAAGTTCATAAACGTTAGAAGTAAGGTCATCACACTATCATGTATTCCAATAAATATTGACACATCAATTATAATGTGTCACGTGGATGTCTTTTTGATATTAATATTCATAAGGAAGTATGAATTGTTGGTGAAAAATCGCGTTGACAATGACGACTCCAAACTGAATGAACATGAGAATTGGAAAATGTGAAAAATCTTGAAGTAGAGGTTAGGTGCCACAGTCTCTGAACATCCTTGCTGTTTTTTTATTTAATTTTAATAGGATGTGATTTGACATGGATTATATGGTAATTAATGCGGAATATTGGATTGATTTTGCAGGTGATAAGGTCATATCGATTGTTGGTATTCTCTTGTTCAACGAGATAAGATATGGAGGAATGGTTGAATGCTCTGAGAACTGGTGGTGAAGGTAGAACAAAGGGTGAACATGGGACTGCCGAATTTCTTGGTGGTAATCATCAATGGTATGCTACAAGTCATGCAAGACCAACATACTGCAATGTTTGTCGAGATGCACTCTATGGTTAGTAATTCAATATTTGTCGCACTCTTCTTTTTCGTTCAACACAAACAATTTCTATTTTATTGCTGTCGTCGATAGGTGTTACATCGCATGGACTCAGCTGTGAGATTTGTAAATATAAAGTACACAAGAGGTGCAGTCTTAAAGCAATTAATAATTGTAAATGGACTACTCTGGCATCGATAGGGAAGGATATCATAGAAGATCACGATGGGGTTCGTATTTTTTTTCTTCTCTTTTCTATTAGTACAAATGTAAGCTCTTATTTCTTTGTGTCTGGCTAATTGAATATTATGATTTAAAAAGCCCAAACAATGCGAATTTAAGATTCATTTACGTAAAGTTGCAACTAAAACGATCATGTCATCAACTTAAAACAGTAGATCTCTACGAACGTTCTCACTCAGCTTATGGCTTCCATTATAATTTTATTTTTTTCTATAAAATCAGGAATGAAAAATTCAGAAGAGTTAAATTATAGATATCCAAATAGTTTGGTAATTGTCTTTTTAATACCGCTGTATATTTGTAATTGAATATCGAAAATTCTATTAAAGTCCCGTTTTATGAAATATTCCTAGATATTTTTCAATTATATTCTCGCACCTTTGGAGTTTTTAATTTATTCTGTATTTTTTTATATTTAGAAAATTTTTAAATAAACGAGGAGTAATTATGTGATTTTGGCGTTTTTCCATAAATTATTTATAAATTGTCAATAAGCTTTCTGAAAGTTGGAACAATTTCAATAAATTATGCGCAAGAAGGGATTGCGTGAAAACTAGTTATTTTCTTTGCAAATTGCAATAGTTGGAATGGACGAACGAGTGAATTAAGATTATTAAACTTTTTTTAATCACATATGACTCATGTTTCGTGATTTGTGGCTTGTATCTCAAGATATAGAATGAAAAATAACTGTAAAAATAACTACAGGAAGAAGACTTTAGAATTGACAGTCGAGTGCGAACAATAAAGAATACTGCGTATGATTTTTGACATAACGATATTTTTAAACATCGACTTTTCAGTTTGTCCAAATTCGTGATGGTAATTTTTTAAAATATGAAACTACAATCACGATTAATTAATATTATTATTAATTTGAACTAAAACCGGGATCGAAAATTAAAGTTAATATAATAATCAATTAATAATGTTTTCTTCACGGTAATATTATGGATAAGAACTTTCACGCATTGTTTACGTAATTCTATGATGTTTAAATGAGGAGTGAAATAGAGAAAAGTCTTTGTTAGTTGTTTTATAAAATTAAAAGTAAATGGTAAAAACGGGCTAAAGTGAAACCGTAAAACGAAACCTCTGTTCAAATGTTTCATTGAGCTCTGAGAATAAAAAAGTCAATGTTGTATTCCGTCCCGTTGTTTCACATTCTTGTACTCACCCCTAAATAGGCGAGGGGAAAAATGTGGACGAAGAAATATTCATCACAAAACGGTTGATCGCGAATAAATGGCAAATCTCATGAATTATCAACAACTACTTTTTGGTTTTGTGGGTGATAAAAGTGAGAGTAAAAATGTCCCTTTGACCATTCCTGCCGAGCGGCAGCTTTTTTCTTAATTACATTAAGGAGTTATTGCCAATATCTTCTTATTTATCATGTTTTTTGTAAATTTCTGGGAAACCCTGGATCACATTAACATAACAAAATATACCGTTTTCAGGTTTGATTCATTATTCAATGATACCCAAATTTTTATAGTCGTGCGTTTATTTTTATAAATTTTTGGTAAAGATTGGTGAACTTTGGCAAAAGCTTATTGAGAACGTAGGATAATTCTTCCTCAGTGATGAAATTTTGTGGCACACTGAATAATAATAAAACTTAAAAACGGTATATTTTGTCATGTTAATTTTACCTAGCGCTTCTCAGAAATTTGTCAAAATCTTGAAAAATTAAAAGATATCGGCACTAACTCTTTAATTGCATTAGTTAAATTAATTGCGCAGGGGAATAAGCGTAATTTCTATCTATTGGAAAAAATATGACGCTTGAGGAGGAACATACAGATTTCGTACGGAAATTATGGACGTGCTCATATTTTTTTCATTTTCCAACTCAGAATATTCAAATGCCGCACCAATGGCTGGAGGGGAACTTACCAGTGTCTTCCAAATGTCCTGTGTGCGATAAAACATGTGGCTCAGTTCTCAGGTAAGATGAATTGCACATGTAGAGTAATTGAAAAATATAAAAAGGATCTAAACGTATTATCAAAGTTAAACCATTCTTTAGGCTACAAGATTGGAGGTGCCTGTGGTGTAGAGCTACGGTTCATACAGCTTGCAGACCATTGTTCAGCCTCGAATGTCCCTTGGGCCCTTCTAAGCTCAGTGTTGTACCTCCAACTGCATTACACAGTATAGGTGAAATTGCAAAATAAGCAGAGCCTTTAGTTTTAATGAGTATCACATTTAACTATTACTGGAAGTAATATTAATTGGAAAAACACTATCACCTCAACTATTGCCTCGAGATATCAGGGGGGAAAATGGTTTAGAATATTTTTTTTTTCATTACATTTCACTCAGTTTTTTGTTTTTCATCATAATTTCTGCGTGGTTGACAATTCATAATATTCAACCTTTTCTTTCTCGCACACTAATCGATAAATAATAATCATTATAGATAATAATTATCAATAATATCATTAACTAAAGATTGGACTAAAGATTAGAAAAAAATATTGGGAGTGTTGCATTTCGGTGTATTCTCATTAATTGTTCTTTTTCGCGTGTAATAATCCATTGTATTATTTCGGAAAATAATATTTATTACTTATAAGATGATACCAATTTTAGTAAATAATATTTAGACATGTAACCTTTTAATGTTTCACTCAGTTTCATTCCGTTTAATTAAATTTTTCTTCAATAGGTAGTGATGAGGCTTGGGAGGCAGTTAGGCCAGTTGGATGTAGTCCATTATTAGTGTTCGTCAATAGCAAATCTGGTGACAATCAAGGAATGAAATTTCTAAGGAGATTTAAGCAATTATTAAACCCCGCGCAAGTTTTCGATTTGATCAAAGGAGGACCTGGACCAGGGTGAGTCAAGAAACCTTCTCCCTCATCCAACTCATACAATAATTAGCAAAAGCATGGTGCTTTCATCTATACCACCGTTTTCAATAACATTGAAACTTATCGCGTATTGCATCCATCGTGAAACATGATGGGGAGTTGGCAGACTTATATTTTTGAATATTTCTAGTATACAATGGATAAATACATTAAATAACGAATTTGTATTAATCGTTCTGTTATATTTTTGTCGGGCAATCAGGGATATCATTGAAATAATAGAGTAGCGTTCGATGTTCCCAACCATGTTTTTAAAAAATTACGTTCAGCTCGTAATATCGTGGAAAAATACATATAACGTTGGCAAGATTTTTTCGGAGGAAAAAGTCTCTTCATGTTCTATTGTGTGATATTTTTCGTATATTCAGCAACTTATTTCCATATTGAAAATACTACATTGTTAGAAATTGCTTGAAATTTTCATCACAAAGTAATCTGACTTTGCAATCATGCGAGTTTAACTTCAATAAAAACGACCACTAAAATTCATTTCCCAAAGAAAATTTGAATTTGTATCACCATCGTGGATTTTCAACATGAAACCTAATTAGATTTTCAATAGATTGAAAATTCAAAGAAATTATGGCCTGAATTTTCAATATTTTCACGGGTTTTCAGTGCTTTATAGATGTAAAAATGGAAAATACCCGAATATTTAGGATATTAACTGAAACGTCAGTGACACAAATTTCATGTTACTTTGTCGTTGTTGAATTAGCGAATTATTTTCCCATTAATCAGCTGAAAATGCTTGGTCAAATCAAATGTGATTCTTTTCGCATGTGAGCCCTCCCCTGGCTACTTCACACTCCATTTTATTTCTACGATGACTATTGGGTAATATGTACGAATGTCCAGAAGTATAGCATAAATAATTTGAAGAATTTGCATGCAGGCTGCAATGTGCGTACTTCTCCGTTTGAGTTAATCCTGATGCTATTGATGCTGAAAACAAAATTCTGCGATTAAGTCATCCTTACAGTATTGTTAAATAAATGATGGATTCTTGCTTTCTTATATAACATTAAGTGGAATATAATAAACAGGCTAAGGCTCTTTCGACATTTCGACCCGTTCCGGATTCTGGTCTGCAGCGGAGATGGGTCTGTTGGTTGGGTCCTTTCGGAGATCGATCGGTTAGGAATGCACGTGAGTAACAGTAGAAACTCCGCGCTATTTTATCCCGTGAGTTCTTTCTTTTCTTCTTCATCTATCGCTCTCCAAAGCTTTTCTTCTTCTTCTTCCTTGATACTCTATCCACTGAACTCTTCGTTTTTTCTAACTCTGTTCATAATTTATATGATGTATATGATACTCTTGTTTTTGCTACTTTTTGCGCAGCTAATAATTCTCTAACAATTCATCGTCTGCTATTTTTTGTATATAAGTCAGGGTATTGAGGACAATACAGATATATCGCTCGGAACTTTGGTCGAATATATCGCTCAAACGGAATCAGTTATCCTTCTTTTAATATCTTTTTTAGTTATATAATCAGGAATAATAAGTAGGCAGTTGCTCTCTCATTACGTAAAATATGCCATTTTTGCGTTTTATCATTATTACATGGCTTACGAAGTTTCGTGGTGGTGCGATAATTTTCATGCATTTTTTCTAGCTTTATAATTCTTGTTAAAAATTCCAGAGAAATGCAAAAGATCTCATCGCTGATTGCCAGAAAAATGAAAGAACATAAATTTTGATGGAAAGGGTGTAGAACATCCTTATTGAAATTCAATTGCAATAGTAGGCTATTCTGTGACAGACGCAGAATTGAAATATTTCCAAAGTATGAATAAACACACTGAGGGATGCGCTTAAAAAATTATATTTTCGCATTTTTTGGCGCATAATGGGTGGATATAATGCAAAAAATACAAAAAATTTAATTTCAACGGTTACCGTCGGGAACAAAAAAAAATCAACAGATTAAAGTACTTATCAATCATAATATAATTAGTTATTCAATTTTAGATCAGAAGCATGGGTTTCTACGCGCTTATTTATTTTTTCGATAGCATTTTCGATAACTTGCGACCGTATGAATAGAAATTGTCGCGACTGATCAGTTGTCTTATTGCAGTTGCGTAGAAATAGATGATTCAGATGATTCCTGCAATCGATTAATTATTTTTGTTGGACTAGCCTGTAATAAGATCAGTTTTATTCCACTTGAATAGTAATTTTGATGAATGAATGAGATGGAGTTGAGAACTTGTCCAATCTTTTTTTCATGAGTTTTTTCATGGGCCATGGTGGTTCCCTATACTTCCTTATGAAAATATCATGCCCTGCAGGAAGCATTGATATGGGCGTAATTTTGTCTACAGAAACAATGCCAAGTGGGTGTTCTCCCATTGGGTACAGGAAATGATCTAGCCAGAGTACTTGGTTGGGGAGCGTCTTGCGATGATGACACTCATTTGCCGCAGTTATTAGAAAAGTACGAGAAAGCAGGCACTAAAATGTTAGATCGATGGAGTATCATGACCTTTCAACGAAGTATTTCTCTTCCGTGTCATAAAATGTCACCTAATCAATCCAAACCAGTATTGAGTGTCTCAATAGTTCATCAGTACGAGGATAATGTCATATCACATCTAACAAATATGATACAGTCTAATCAGGATACTGTAACGATATCCAGTGCCAAGTAAGTAAATCATTCACGATTAAATATGCTTCAGCTCAAATATAATTGGGTAATCCATGCACTTCACAATATTGAAAAAATCAATAGAGATGAAAAAGTTGAAGCGCTGTACTCCATGGAGAAATATATTCAGTGAATTCAAGTGTTGGTAGCGAAATTATGAAAACGTCTAAAAACCTTTCGTAATAACCCTAAAAATTATCTTCAACATTTCACTTGAATTACAGAAAAAGATATATATTTTATTCCTATATATTCCTCTCTCTTTATGCAATCTCAAAGAGAAGACGTGAAGAAAGGACAATAGTTCTTTCATAACAAAACTTCTCATCCTTCGATATATCCGTGATGAACTGTATTTACTCAGGGAACCTAGTTCACAATTATAGGAATATCCATTATCTAGAATTTTGTGATCATGTACAATGAAATTTCAGATGATGCCATTATTTTCCCACTAATTATAGAACAAAAGCTTTTTGTTATCATCTACAGTCTATTGATAATGATACACGATCAATCATTTGAATGAATTTGGAGGAAGAGAGATATTTATCTGCCTGTTATTTTGTAGAGTTCTCCGTGAAACTGTAAAGGATTTTGCTACAAAATTACTCGAAGCAAATCTTCACATGGATGATCAAATATTGTGTGAAAAGTGTCGGATACTAGAGCATGAAGTGGATCAATTACTTCAAATAATCAATAATGATGATGTGCCAGTTAACAATGATGAAGAGCAAGATGTAAGAACACTTGAATCAGATCCATATCCATCAACCGGAGAATTTGAAAAAGGGGCACTTGAGAAACCTGAGAAAGATATCACGAATCTAAAGCGTGTAAGGAAGATTCGTGATTCTCTTGAGCAGGATCGAATATTATCAAAAGTAAATAGTTTGAAACGTGCCATACGACAGCTAGTTGAGCATGCAGAAGTATTCATTGATGAACAAAAAAATGCATCTATAAAAGTATCCAATAAACACTTTAACATGGCGGTAATTTCCGAGGATAACAGTCCTACAAACCGAATGGACCAGGATTATTTGGATTCTAAGTGCTTACCCAGTGATAGTAGTATTTTTCTCCTACCATCACCTATTTCATCTGAAAGTAGTGATGTTTCCCCCTGTGCTAGTCCTATGCCCAATTTAGTTTCTTTGAGCCCGATGCCTGATTTACGAAGAGATTCACAAGCTGAAGATATGTTGACGCTACCGGCGCCAGATGGATTTGCAGATAGTCGAAGAAATAGTTCAAATACTGCTCAAGGGTAAATTCAACAAATATTTTATTATTATAATTATTGATCTGCCCCTTTATTTATCAACTTAATTTAGTTTGTAATTTGTGCATTTTTTAAAATTGGTATGTACAACTAACGAGTAGATCCGTGAAAAAAAAGTTAATAGAAGACCTAACAAATCGCCTAGAACATTTTATTGAAACTCTACGCAGCGATACTAAAGTCGTAGTTATAATTTTAGGGTTTTCCATTTTTCAACACCAGCGGACAGCGTTTCAATTCAACGTGCGATGGAAGTAGTAGCAGAGCAACAGTCTGAACAATCTCAATTAGAAACTCTAACAGATAATCAAATAACCGTAACAAGTACCACATTAGATACCACTTCAAAATCTGATGACACTACAATTCAGGATGTGATGATATCACCGGATTCTGATTCTCCGAACTCGATAAACATGTCGCTGGTACATAGGACTGATCACGCAACTAAAACGGAAAACTCAAAAAGCAGTGGTAGCAATAGTATTGCCAGTTCGGATAGTATTGTATCTGATACACTCGATTCAAAAAGCTTCACCATCAAGCACAGTGAGAGTGAAATTGGTGAGAAATTCACTCATATTTCCAGTGAATATTCCTCTGTTTGTAGTTTTGGTGAAACCCCATGTATTCGGATAATTTTTCTGACACTTTTCAGGACACATAGACAGTGATATTTTGGATTCGACTAAGCTGTCAGAAAGTCCTGATATAGGACACATTGATTCGCCCGAACTTTCAGAGCTGCAAAATTCCGAGAGTCTCATTGATGATCTGAGTTCCCTAGGGCAGGACTTGATGAGTACAATGTTGGGTGAAAAGTACGATTCAGTGCGCGAATGTATCGAGACTGTTGCAGCCAAACCAAAAAAATATTGCAGTCTAGCACAATTTGTTGAGGGCAATGATATCGCAAGGAGATCTTTCAAAAGACCATCTCGATATGTTTCGTCCTTGTTAAGAGAAGTAAGCCCTAAATTAAATCTTATTTACTGTAGATAGATTGGTCAAGTTAGCCTAATACCTAACAGTACCGGACAATTTACTCCGAGAATTGAGTATGCTATGGCGGCTATGATTAAACACTTATCAATCAGCGAATTACAAAAATATTCTGTGAGCTTTAGTTTTGAATGATCTTTTTAGGACCATAGGGATGGTGAGCATTTATTGGATGGAAAAAGGGATTTATTGAGCCCAGTGTGTTGCTTCAAAGTGACTTCTGATTCAGGCCAGGACGAGAAGACTCCCCAAAATTTTCCTCCAGCAATAAGCGTTATAGTTGATCCTCCTAGTCCATCGATGTCAGTGGGAAGTCACATTGAAGATTATCCTCCGAAAGAGGGGAGATTGAGCAGATGTAGTATGGAGCGGTTGAGTGTAGAATTACCAGAACTTGGTTTCTCTCCACAAGCAACCCGTCGAATAAGCAGTGGCAGTTTGTTGAAAGCTTCTGAGGTTGTCTCATTAGCCGCTACGGCGGCAAGGTTCGGTGGGTCAAGTATGAGTCTTCGTCATGATCGAGCGTCATCGGTAGATAAAACAGAAGACGTTAAAAAATTACCAATAATTAATCCTCTCGTGAGACTTCCGATGTGGCCAAATGTGAGTGGTGGAGCAGGTTTAATAAGTCAGGCCCTTCTAGCAAATGCTGATGCTCTTTGCGCTGCAGTTTCACCTTTAATGGATCCTGATGAAACTCTAATGGAGGGCTATTTTGAACGTTGTGTAATGAATAATTACTTTGGTATTGGTATTGATGCAAAGATCAGTCTAGATTTCCATCAGAAAAGAGAGGAGCACCCTGAAAAATGCAGATCAAGAGCTAAAAATTATATGTGGTATGGAGTTCTTGGATCGAAACAATGGCTTCAAAAGACCTATAAAAATCTTGAACAAAGAGTACAACTTGAGTGTGATGGTCAACGAATTCCTCTGCCCTCACTGCAGGGCATTGTTGTCCTCAATATTCCCAGCTTTATGGGAGGAACAAATTTCTGGGGTGGTACTAAACAAGGCGATTTATTTTTAGCTCCCTCGTTCGACGATAGAATTCTAGAAGTTGTTGCTGTTTTTGGATCCGTTCAGATGGCTGCCTCTAGGCTCATTAATTTACAGCATCACCGAATCGCACAATGCCAGACTGTGCAAATTAATATTCTAGGTGACGAGGGTGTTCCAATTCAAGTTGATGGAGAGGCGTGGATACAACCACCCGGTATCATTAGAATCATTCATAAGAACCGCATGCAGATGTTGTATAGGAATCGTGCTCTTGAGACGTCCTTGAAAACGTGGGAGGAGAAACAAAAGAGTAATACTTCCACTATTGTATCACAATCGACGTCAACTCTGAGCAACCCATCCAGGTCTCGTTCTAATTCTCGTCGACTCACAATAGACAGCAAGCCGATACAATTATATGAAGAGGAATTCAATATTTTACTCGGATTCATTGAGGTTGTCACGACGTTAGTTAAGTGGGTTAAATTGTTAATTATTTCTCATCCAAGTCTGGAGCCTGATCTATACCAAATTGCTGACAGAACTGCTAATAGTTTGGAAAAAGTCCATCCCGATGGCAAGATTCTTGAGGGGGTAAGTTATCAACAGAGGGGGAATAAATACTTTTTGCCAAATTAAGGCCACTCCATTTCATGGGAGAAAACTTTCTTCATTAACAGCCAAGTTTGAGACCTGTCGTCACTGAAGTCGTTACGAATGCCAGACAATTATATGAAGAATCATGCGAGCTACTCAGAGATAAAGCCCATAAGCTTGTAAGTCACTTAACTTCATTTCATCATGTTGATTTTCATCTAATTAAATTACATACGTGAAACTTCGCTGCAATTACAGATGTTGCGTGAGGACTTGGAAAACAAATTGTCCCAGGCATTAGCAACAATGGAACAAGAATTGCGAAAATGTGTCTTTGATGAAGCTGGCACAGGAATGGTATATCTTCAGAATATAACATCGGATGAACAGGTACATTATTTTTTTGACTTTGGTGCTTTAGAAACGTTTGATTTCTCACATTAAGTTTTTATTGGCATTTTTATGTCTGAAGTAGGAATAGGTCGAGTCACGCCGAAATTAATTCTTATGAATATCCAGCAAGATGGTTAGAGCAACAATAATTATACCCGAGATTAATCAATATGATTATCATGTACAATTCAATTTTTGATAAAAAAATTTTCAAAGTGATAAGTGTTAGAATATTGCTTTCCAAGGTGGATAAATTAAAAAAAGGCTCGAACCTTCTTCATGGATATCCTTCAATACCCTACGAAAATTTATTACACAGTTTACTACATATTCATTTGCATGATTAAATGTAAAGAAAGAATATTTCAAATGTGAGGTTTCATTATAAAAGCAGATAATTGAATGAATTAACATATTTTACTAACGACAAATAATATATTAGTATTTTTCTACCATCCGCCCATTATTAAAAAAAATATAATTCCAATTAAATGAACGATATAATTAATGCAAATTGTTCTATGCCCTGGAATTTTATTGGATTAACTGAGTACTCAATCCTACCACCGGTAATACGCTCTAACAAATCAGAATGCTTTGTAGCAATAGAGAATAATAGTTTTAGCAATAGTGGCCCGACCCTCCTCTTGAGCTCTATTAATAGCCATATTACTCCTAATTGCATAGATAGCACGCCCTAGACACTCCAATACGAGTTTGTATTGGCCAATAAGTTGATGAAAATGTTTCGTTGATAATTTGTCAAATGCCAAATATTTCCTTTTCTCCCTTCATAAAATTAATGTATCAATGCCACCAAAATGCCGCATCAGAACACATATACATATGAATACGTATGTTCAAGAGGAGCAAATGATTATGACCACTTGAAGAGCATGTTGATGTTAATGTATAAATCTAGTAGTTCAATGATTTGAGAAAGCTTGGAAAAAATGTTGGCGAAACTTTTCTATTACATCACGTTGTACAACCTTGAAGAGCCCCTTCGTAAAAGTTGATGAAATTGTATGCTTTTGATTCATTAGGTTGTTATGGATTCACGCGTACGTGTGAAGACGAAGTTGATCCTGCAAATTCCACAGTAAAAATAACGCGTGGTATTGTTTGCCTTGAACCTGCTCGTGCACTCCCTTCATTCGTATCTATTAAATTGGCGAGAACAATTAGCGATGGTGCGACCATGTCGCATATTTACGTTTTGTCGGGCTCAAGGTATTTAGCTCAAAGATTATTTCAATCTATCCCGGATTCTCTCAAACCACTTTTTATTTGTCACAACATTTGGATGATCATTTTAACTGAGACAATTATTGGTCTCAGTAAACATCGTAGATCTTGGCTACTACTGATTATTTAAATTGTTTCCCAATTGTCCGTACTCTGTCTGTGCGTCCTACAATATTTGGAGTTTTTTGCGAGCTACTTCGTGGTGGAATTTCAATGTTTGGTGAATGACTTCCGAAGATAGTCCCTGAAGAAGTTGTGGATGTTGTTGGAGGGATAATGACGAATGCTCAAACCTCCTTATTTCTGGGGCTACGATATCTCCTTGAATTATTCCGAACCCTGAGTAAGTTCTGTAAGTTCTCTCTATATACATCTTTTTCACATTTCTGCTGCATCTGGGAATCGCTGGGTTTCGTCATCCACTTGATGCGAGTATTGCATTACTTGGAACGCTGATAAAAGCTAGGTCCAAGGTAACGTTGTTCAGTTCAAAGCTTGCGAATTCTCCAGTTTTATTTTTCCACAATATCCTTCAGTATTTGCTGCGGGCTATCCTTTCCTGAATTGTATATATATTCTCTCAATTTCTCCCAATATAACCTATTCAATATAAGGATATAACCAGAATTATAAAACCATCTCTCCTAGAAGGATATCTCCGGTGTTAACTGACGCGTCGTAAACTCCTCTATTGAAGAGATATCCTATTCCACCACGGAATTATAAGATCGGTATTGGGTCCTGGATTGTGGGTCCTGGTCGTAACTCTGAAGGATAGAAATGTTATGGCTTCTACGAAGCAGCAGTGCTATAAATGTTAATATCCCTACGTTAAAGTTTGCTGCAGTATCTAGACTCAGAAATATGCACAATTCACCGTTGCTCTATGATTTATCTACAACGTGAATGATTGTAAGGATGGATTAGAGAGTTCCTTCGCTCTAGATTTAACCAGGTATTGGCATACCATTGGCATTCCTCCATGGAGTTTTCGTTGATTTTTTCATATCTCAATTATAAATAACTTGAGTGACATTGAGTTTTATGTATCCATGAAACCTTCCAAATTACAACTAAACAAATGCAATGAAAATCAACATCATACTCCCAAGTAATTTTGATCCATTTCGATATTCGAGATGATGATCATTTTTATTATTCTCACTAGCTTTCAAATTTCGCAACAGTTTCTTCGACTGTACGTGATTTCTTGTTTTTCGTATCGCCAGAACTTTGGAAAAGATTCAAAAGAGTACAATCGAAAAAATCGTGAAAGTAAAGGAAGAGGACGAGTACCATTACTTCCGTTTGTGCGCTATGTTTCCATTGACTCGCCATGAAATAGTGAATAATATTAGGATCATCATAATAAAACTATGTAATAAATAGATATAAATTGGTCCCATAATTATATTATATTATATTATATTATATTATATTATATTATATTATATTATACATATACGCTTCTCAAGTTAATACACTGCACACGCCTATACCCGATACAGCCAATTAGCCAAAGTTCGCATCTTTGTTCGCATGTACACGTTAAGAAATGTACAAAATTCACATTGTATAGATACTTGGAAAGCGTATAACTGAACCGTTTCCTACTGAATCATAACGATCCTGGCCAATCATTGAGAAATTATGTGCATTAAGACCGCCATGAACTATCTTTTCAACGTGATTTTTAGTTTGAATTTAATGTTATTAGCCTAAAAATATATGAAAACAAAAATTATGAAAAAAAATGAAAATAAAAATTATGTTGCGGAAACTTTCGGGAGAATTTTGAGAAAAAAAAATACGCGTAGTAACCATGGATAACATTTAATAGTCTATTTGAATTCTATATTGTTATTGATTGTCGAATTTATTCTTCTCCGCCATCATGGTAACTGGTAAACTATGTGTTTTTCATTATTTTTCAGTAAAACTTGGCAGATTTCTTTTCAGCAATATCGCGATTTAACGCCTTTCAATAATTTTTCCTCTTTTTTTTAATTATTTTTTTATAACCATTGGAACGCCTTCCGGTAACACAATTTGTTTTGCCGATTTTTAAAATATGTTTTAAGCTAACAAGATAAAATTAGAAAACAAGGTCACGTGCCATAGATAATCCATGTGGGCCTTAAATTGGATTATTTAATTTGATTACTGAATTATTGTCCCAATTGATTATTGGTAAGGTTGGTTCTCAATGTGAAATATTGCCAATGGATAAAGAAAAGATAAATAAAAGTTGTATTTGAAATTCACAGGGTGATAGAAAGAATCGTCATCGTGGTTTGTTTTGGTTGAAGTTTCGTCGTTCTGGTGGGAATAGCGGAAATCATCCAGCACGGGATCAAGTAACAACATGGGGCGTTCAGGATGTATGTATTTGGTTGGAAAACCTTCAACTTGGCGAATATACTGAGCAATTCAAATCCCATGATATACGTGGAAGGGAATTACTATCTCTTGCACGGAGGGACCTGAAGGAGCTTGGAATTGTTAAAATTGGTCACGTTAAACGTATACTTCAAGCTATCAACGACCTTAATAACTAAACTTAGTACTTTTTCACTTATGCTCTCTTCAATGTTTTTGACTGATATCCGAATTGTGAATTTGAACAGAACGCAAGATTAAGGCTGTGTTTGAATTTTCAGATATGGAAAATATTGAAATTTAACGTTTTCCTATCTTTATCATAATTACAAACTCATATGAGTTTTGTCTCTAATGAGGACCAGAAACAGTATTAGACACTTCTGTCAACAAGTATGAATTTTTTCATTGGTAGTGCTATTTAAAAATGGCCTTGAGTCAGATAGTTCTATATCCCTTTAATGTTTGATGTTTTTCTTTACCAATTCGTTATCTCATGTAGACGTTGAAAATTGAAAATGTGTTTTTCCTTTTCAATCGATAACACGATGAAATCTTTTCGCACTGAAAAATTATAGAATTCTAATCAGGTCAAAAAACACAAAAATTTCCTAATAAGCAGTTATTTTGTAAGACTTTCTTATGTCTCTTTCAACTCCTCATAAGTCGTGATGTGAGAGTTTTTATCATTGGAATCCATTTTGAAAGTCAACAATACATACCCTTAAGAATATCGATATACAGACCATTTAATGTAAGGTATAACTTTACTAGTTCACTTGTCTAAAAATCCCAATCATTTACAAAACAATAGGAGAACAAGAAATTCAATTTTCTCTACTTGTTCTTAGGAATTCTTGTCTGGTAATTGATATTACATACTTCCCAAACTCGAAAACTTGAAAATCACCATGGAATAATATTGTTCCTGCGCTGTAGTTATGGTATTTTGACTCCCTAAATCCCACGGGCGTATGACACGAGAAACCCAATAACTACAGGCCGGAAAAATACAATTTGTTTCAAAATATCTCACCGTGACTTTTCTCTCTCACGTTACGACTGCAAAACGTCGGTGAGTTTGCGCGACTACCGGCTGGTCAAAAATTGGCTAAACTACGATTTTCTATGGAACTCCAAATTAGTAAAATCAATGGCGTTTTTCAAATGTAAGAAAAAGTGATATTTAATGGTTTATGTCATCTCTGTGCAATAAGTGGAGTCTGAAGCAACGCCAAGTGCAATTCTACATCACTTCTACATAGTGTGATATAAAATATTATAGATCACTCGGACATAATCTTCGTTTTCAACGAATGCGACTACCTTCGTTTCCGCCTTGGGCTCGCAGAGTGAACATGGCATTTTACGAAAACGAAATTTGTGTTCTTTTACTTTAACGTGCTATTATATTCTGCGCAGAAAACTATTGTAGGCTCTGTAAGATGTTCATTTTCATTTCTCAATGAATACTCAACTTGAAATGATGAAAAAGTAAATATGTTGCAGAGCAGTTGTTATAGACTTGAGTGTTTTTTTACGAAGCTCTAGTACCGTAGTTCTTATTCATTGGTGAGGAAAGAAACTTGGATATAAGATACCAGACAACTTTGAAGGTCCGATGGGTATTTATCAGATTAACTTCTCCATTACCGATTCTGATAAATGAAAAAATTATTTAGAATATTATATTGTGATGCTGAACTTTGTAATGGGCCGAGTTCTGCCACATCTAATTAACCGGATTTAATATAAATTTATGTAAGCCATTACATTACATTACATAAAAATTACCGTAAGTTCTTCTCATTCATTCATTGGGAAAAATAGGCGAATCGATATTATATTCAGAATGTATTGTTGATCAGAATTAGAATGGAGAAAATAATCATGATGATATGATTAGTTAAAAAATCGGAATCCAATTGTTTTTCGAAAAAATATATAAAAAGAATAACGAAGCTCGGTATTAAATACTGTCATGACCCTCAACATGAAAGGGGATTTCGTATTTTTTTAAGTGAGCGTATACGGGTGCACCTAAATTCTACTGTATCTTAGTCAATTCATTCATTTTACAGATGATCAATACTTTATGAGTACTTAATACCTATAAAATGTGTGGACACGGGGGGAGAATTAGATGATTATCGCTCTCTCCTCGAATCCATTGTATGTTTAAATTGTTACAAGCAATTCCATCAAAGAGAAAACTTGAAAATTTCCTCTGAAAACTAATGAAAATGGTAACTCCATAATAATTGTATTTTTGCAAACTGTTATAAATCTTTTACAAAAAAAAAAGAAAGAAAACAACTTCCAATTCATATTCTTCAACCACTTTAAAGTGTCCTTGACTTCGTCACAGACGAATAATGCAATTGGGGAGATTCCCGATGAAATTCTAACTTTTCATTTTTCAGTTGGTTAATAAACGCTGACAGAAAGAAAAACAATATTGAAAATTCTCCATGTTAAATCAATCATAAATTATCTATTAAGCATACAATGAAATGATCGAATGAATATTATCATGCGAATTAAACGAAGTATCTTACGGGACTCAAAATTAAATAAGATCATTTATTCTTAACAGTATCTAAGGTCGGAGGAAATACAGGTAAAATTGTTTGTGGAATGACAGACAGGCGAATTACAATATTATAATTCCTAGGACAATTCGAACTGAAGCATCGTTAAAACATTTTTCTATCCTAATAATTTCGTTCACATCTACATTATAGGAAATGTTTTTTTGCGGACTCGTTTTAATTTAAAATCATGCTTTGAAAACCACGTCATCAAAGTTCAAAAAAATTAGTCCGTTGAATAATACTTTAAATAATATTACTCCCACACAGTACATGGGGTTCGTTATTCCCTCTCCCCATTTCTGTGGACCCATGGGGCCGACTTTTTCCCCCAGGTGTTGTATTCGATCTTCTACAAATTTTCTTAACCAAGGAAAATGCATAGAAAAAGACTGACCGATGTGGACGTCCATTGATAGTCTACTCGCAACCTGTGGCTCACTCATAATCTTTTTCATAGTAGTTTTTAAAAAATGTCTGTTTCTCGTGAAAATAAGCCGATTAAAAAAAATATGAATAGAATAGTTTTTAAACTTATTACTCACTCCAAGTCTTAAAAAGCCGACAAAAACTGCTCGCTCTTACCGTCAGACTTATTTTTTTTATTGAGGAAATGCAAAATATCAAATTCATTTCCAATCCATTTCAAAACGTAAACAGCGTCCTCTTATTTTCATTTTCATACGTCTGTTCTAGTTTATTGAAAAATGTGAAAAATTAAGGAAAAAATCATTCTCAAACAATTGTTGATGATTAAGATCTTCATTCGATTATTGCATTATATCGGAATAATTTTTTACTCACTTCGTCGTAACGAAAATAGCATGAGACAGTTGATTAAAAAAAAATAGTAGTAGAATTGAGATCCAAATTAAAAAATTCACGGGATTGTTTGTTTTTGTATTTCAAATCTCCTTTATTATTTTTTTTTGTCGACTCATCGAATCATGAAATCGACCAGTTTTTCAAAGTTTTTCTAAACATACCGACAGAATAACAAGTTTAAAAAATATTCTATGCATGAAAAGTCCTTGCAAACACGCGGATTAAAAAAAAATCATATTATAAGATTGGTTTATTTCAATAATTAAAGTCAAACGAAATGAGAGCCATTTATCAAAAAGTAAAATATTCAAAAAATCAGTGGTGGGTGATAAGTTGCTTCGAGTAATCTGAATATTAATGATTTTAAGAGTTTGAGTTCACTGAGAATACGCAATACGAATAAAATGAGAAATTGGGATCTTGCATAGACGAATACCAGAAGATATACGCAATAAGGCTCACCAAACTTTTTTTAATTGAAAGCTATGGTCAATTTGATGGTATGCACCAGTTTCGAGTTGTTGAAACGTTTTTGTTTGTTACTTTATATATTAGGAAAATGAGATTCGCAATAAGACGCCGTTACTGTGGATCGAATAATGAGTATATATTCCTAGCGATTTTCGGGATTGTTCCAAAATTATTAAGAATTCGATGAATAAATGCCATTACGCACTTTGAGCATTCTGTTAATGATGTTTAATTGAGCCTATGTATGATGAAAACAATGATAAATTTTTTTCATTTTTCCATTTTTTTTTGGAAAAAATGGCAGAAAAAATGCGCAAATTCAGTCCTATACGTGAATTAAAGGGATAATAAGAAGCGAAATGAAGCAACTCTTGAATGAGAGATCTGAAACAATATTTGTAAATATATTTTTCTCGAATAACTTCAATCATTGTTATGGAAGGTTCCAGCTGTTACATTTACATGAGAAACAAACGAGAAGAAAACTGAAAGACAAAATTTATTACTATTCTGATAAATGAACGTTAAAGCACCAGTCATCATTGGTGTACGTTATTGAACAAGTATATTCGAATTTTTTATTCTAAAGTAGTGAACTGCTGTTTGTTTTATTCACTCATATTTCATTTGAATCTGATGAATGTTCGTTGATGATTATATCTCTTCTTCCTCATCAAATTGTTACTAGATATAAATTTTTCCATTTGGAACTCATGGATTCTCCCAATTTTAGCACATAAGTATTAGCACACTAGGGGTCAAATACACTTTTACGTTATTTCCTTAACTGGAATATTAAAATAGCACTTAATTATGTAATCGCACATTTCACGTTCTGTATAACATTGTGAATTTATTTGACTGAATAGCATGTAACTTTGAGAGAGACCACAGATGATTTTAGAAAAAACTGAAGGTAATGAGAATTTTTTCAGTAACAATTGTGTTCAAATAATGATTATTTAATCCAAATTATAAATGGCATCGTATTACATGCAGATATAAAAATTATATTCTGAACTCATATATGAAATGCTGTAGTAGTTCTAGTCTGAAAATCATTATCAAGCATGTTTGAATAGCAACGGTATGACAAATAACAAAGTAAGCATTCAGCACTAAAAAGAAAACTGAAACGAATAATTAATAGATATTTTGAAGTTATACTCTCGTGACATATTAGAAATCGTGATGATTCAAATTTGGCAATTCTGTGATAACGAATATTATTCCTAGTATTCGATATTCGGTTTGTTGAAAAATAACCAAGTTGTATTATCAATTCAATTCTATAGTTTCATTCTTCTTTGTGCGCCATTTTATTCCATTGTTGTTCTAATTACGATCATTGCAATCCACGTAACATTAAAAAGATAATCAAACAATTAAATCACTGATGCACTCTACTAATTTTAGGAAATTACAAAAAAACAAATGTTAATTATTAAATAAAACGCCTGTTTGAAAATAGATATTTATTGACTACAATCATTGAATATTACACTGTTTCAAGCGTTGCAATGTTTCCTCTTTTCCTAATATCTCCATCATTTCAGCTACACCTGGACCGTGCTAAAGAAAAAACATTCGCATTATCATCAAATCGTTTGCACCTCCGTGAACATTCATAATTACCTCCAAACCACTTAGAGCAGTTCGTAACGATTTCATGAGGGTTGAGAATTTCACTCCATTATCCGTGGCGAATTTTCTCAAATAGTCGTTCAATTGATGCTTTTTAAAATTATTTCCATCCCAATTTTCTAATTCGGTACATAACGTTTGCAGTGAACCTGTCCATTGAAAAATAACTCATAAAAATCTAAGTCATTTGAACAAAAACATAATTATCATAAAAATTAACAGAATTATAACGAAATTCTAGGAGTGGCTCGGCGTAGTGGTTACGGTCGCTGCCTTACAACGAGTAGGTTGCAAGTTCGATCACTGGCCCTCGTCACTCGTCATATACTCTAACAGAGTCGACCCAAAGTAATATAATCATTAAAAAAAAGAAATTCTATGAGAACTATTGTCCCAAAGATAATCAACTGATTCATCTACTACATTTAGAGTTATAATTAAGATAATTATCATCATCTGTGGCGAACGGTCTAAATCTATGCCTAATTGCATCTCTTGCAAGTGCATCCGAATTTTACCTATAGTTCCAGGATCGTCAATGGATAAAGACGGATTAACCCATAAAAAAGCTAGATCCGTTGACACCAAATCATTCAATTTAGTTATTCTATTCCTGGCCCATTGCAGTATAGTGATCATATGATGTTCATCCATTTGTAAGCTTCCATCGTTACGTCTAAAAAAATTAGAGCAAACGTATCTGAGAGTTATTGAGAAGGATAAAACTGCTTTGTTAAAACAATCAACGTTGATTCAATTTAATTATTTTTCACATTAAATTCTTTAGAAAAAAAATAGCAATTGTATATTAATATCAAAATGATTACCTATCTGGAAATGTTTGCAAAATCATTTTTTGCATTTTATGCACCAAAAATCCCAAATTATCTGTATCATCAAGTAGATTGGAGAGTTCTAATTTGTTAAATTCCAGTAACTTATCATGGTGTAGTTTCGAAGAGCTCGTATTGATTCTCTCAACATCGAACTATAAAAGAATTTCTTATTATTGTTGATTTCTTTGCCAACTTGAATTTGAAATATTACCTGATGTATGAGATCGGCATAAGTATGGCATACACTCTGAAAGCCTTCTTCTCGTTGAAACCCTCCTCCAGCATAGGTGATATAATTTAACAGAGCCAGTGGAAAAATACCGTCTTTCCGAAATGCATCCACTGTTATATCCCCCTGTCTCTTCGACAATTTCGTTCCATCTGCATTTAAGATGAGAGGTAAGTGTCCAAACTGAGGAGGTGTCCATCCGAATGCACTAGGATTGATTGATTTATTTAAAAAGACAACGGAGCAACTCTAAATTAATGTCTAATTATTAACTATACTGAATAGTAAATTGAGAGAAAAAAAGCATAAGCTATACACTTAGATGGAAGCATTTATCCACAAAAAATAGGAAAATTAAATGTGAACAAATACAAAAATTCGATTCGGAATTCAAAATAAAAATTGATCTCGCTTTTTAAGGAAAACAGCATGAATCGCTCAAATAAGATAAAATTATAATCTTCTCAGCGTAAATTGAGCTAATTCATTGTGTACTTACTTATATATTTGTAAATGTTTTCCCGTTGACGTCTGCCATTCAACACCTCGTAAAATATGTGATATTTCCATGAAGTGGTCGTCTACAACGTTAGCAAAATGATAGGTAGGGAATCCATCAGTCTTTATAATCACAGGATCACCTTCGGTTTGATTTATTGTTAAATCCCCATACACCATGTCGTGAAAAGTGGTTGATTTGTCAGGAAGCTAGAAGGTCAATTTTCCAAATACTAACTCCATAGTTATCCATAGTTAAATTCAACAAAGAATATCCTCAGGTCACCAGTTGCTGATCGGTCTACAGATATCGGAGAAGGGAAATAATTCATCCGAGAATAGGGATCGTTTAGCCATCCAGTTACTAACGCCTCAGAATTATCTGTAAAGGCAATTCGATATCCGCAAAAATTACTATCTTCATTAATTATCTTCACTTGACTTAGACCAACTGGAGACATCAATTTAATCACATGAAAAACAAATTGATCCAAGCTTTGATGATGTTCACGCATGATTTATAACAAAAGTTTGTTATTTCAACTTCAATTACAACTATCCGATATCTGCATCCCTTATAGCACAATACAGGACAAAATCATATTCTATTCTGTCGGAAATAATTCTCATAGGGAAGAACAGTGGATCCATACGAAAGAGAGATGTTGCTTCTTCAAATTTCTATCCCTTCTTCGAACTAGATGAAGGTGTTGATTGTAATAAACTCATTGAACACTCGTTGAACACATTTGAATTATAGAAAGAAGAATTAAAATGATATAAAAATGGTGACAGTGGGTAATAACTCGCAGATAACGAACTCTCAAACGAACTAAAATAGAAGTGATCAATGATAATATAATAAAATGCTTTGAATATATACAAAATTCATATAAAACTCCACTTCCATATCGTTATATAGATACGTCCCTTTCACATGATAAATTATTAATTACGACTATTTGCCTATTTTTTGGTCAGAAATTGTATGAAGCGTCCAGAAAACACGAAGATGGAAAATACCCTTCTTTCATTAGAAAAAAATGGTTTTTGGCATTTACATCTCTACTATGGAGGTGTTTCATTTAAATTATATTGTTATACACTTCTCACCTTGAATCTAATACAACGAGGTTCTTGTCTACTAATTTTGGTATTAATAACATCTTTTTCCAAATGTCGACAGCGGTTATCGTACTTTGGAACTTCTCCTGCTTTGATTGCTTCTTTTCTCATCATTTCTAATCGACGTTCTGAACAAAAGCAATAGTACGCTGAACCATTTTCCAAGAGTTTTTCAACTTGTTCTCTAGAATAATTATTTATATATAAAAAATTATCAAATTTGAAATGAGCCATCGACTATTTCTGTGATCGGAAACAGAACGACGGGTCGACTTACTGATAAAGATTCAGACGTTTTGATTGAACATATGGAGCTGAGGGCCCCCCAGCTATTGGGCCTTCATCAGGGATGATTCCTGCCCACAAAAGATCCTCTTGAAGCTTCTCCATCGCTCCAACTTGCAATCTAGATTGATCTGTATCTTCAATTCGCAATATAAAAGTTCCATCATTTTTACGTGCAAATAAATAATTGTATAAGGCCGTGCGCAATCCTCCAAGATGAAGTTGTCCTAAATTGAAACGACACAAAATATTCTTTAGTAAAAAATTTGAATGGAGATACCAAAACCATATTACAACAATTACTTGCCTGTCGGACTGGGTGCGAATCTCACTCTTACTGGCTGTTTTTTATAAAACCTTTTGTGCATAAGTTGCACGGATAATGATCGAAATAATCTGAGACTCATTCTGAGATGTTCACTACTGAAACACTAGGTTTACTAGCTCAATTACATATTTGTTGGTCAATGTAATCAATATGACAGATGGAACAAGATCTTCAATTTTAACAAGTAGTTTTGTGCCGAGTGTGAGGTTAATGCCTTGAAAATGTTCTGAAAACAGCTGACTCTGTCGATTACGGACATTTTAAAGTGTTAACGAAACATATATTGCCTTAGCGTAAAGTCATACACAAACAAAAATTTCTCACATTTCTAATTTAACAAAATCTCATTGTGATAATCGCTCTTTTTTTTTACCTTACAAATTAAATATTTACTCCGATGTAATACTCAAAATCTTCATCGAACTCTAGTATGCATTCGGTTAATCCAAACCGAAGAAAAAAAAAATTCACATTTTGGGAAATAAACAACCATTCGTTGATGATTTGATTTTTTCGTCACAAATGCTTCGTTGATGATTTATGCTTTGTTTTCATCTGAAAAAAATAATTAACAGAGGATAACTGCAAGTAACATTACCGAATATGAATGGAACATCACTTAAATTCTAGGTTTTAAGAAGTAATTCACGTGACGTATTTTTATAGCATTTTTCGGATTCTTATTCACGTAAAAAGTGTTAAAATATATCTTTAACGCCGGATACCGTGTGCGAAATTTATACTATGTGGAAAAGAATCACTTTCTGGACTTTGATTTACCACAATTTTCACGTGAGTTTCAATTTTTCTGTTGTTACTTTGTTTTTAAAATAAAATTCAAAGTCATCATCACCAATTGAATCTGTCTTTTTTATTTTTCAATATAATAATTGGATTATTTAAATTGATAGAAGTCTTAAACTATGTTTAATCAGAGTTTTACATTACTTATTGATTCCATCATTAACTTATAAATTAACAAAATAATCGCAATATTGAAGCAAGGTAGAAAGTGATGATTCTGATATAAAGACTATAAATGAAAACTTATTAATTAATAAATTTAACTTATTAATTCCTCTTGTTTCAGTCATGGAATTTTGACTTTATTCTCGACATTTCCACATTCAGTTCTTGCACAAAGAGAACCATTTTTCGCAAAGGTCACAAATGAAGAGAAAATTTGGATCGTTCAGGGGAGAGATTTTGCGCGTTTTTCCCGACTTAAAACCTATTTTTTTTGCACCCGTTAGGGGGCGTGGAATACAGGCGTTGTGTGCAGGTTTTGTGAACACGGGCGCGGTGATAATTCAAATTAAATTTTCTATCAAACTGTTGCAAACGATTGACGATAGATTGAGTAATAAATTATCGGTGGATAGGAGATATTCGCAATATACTCAGACGTCGAGTAGTTTACCAATAATTTGGCCAATGGAATAATATTAGGTTATGCAATTATTTACTTAACCTCCACATACCTAACTTCTCAGTGTTCTAAAAGGCATCTGATAAACGCCGCAAAACGCCTCCTAACGGAAGCAAAAGATAAGTTTTAAGTCGACAAAAACGCGCAAAATCTCTCCCCAGGTTTTCTTTTTTGATCTCCTTGTTCGTAAGGCAAGAAAATTCGGCCCACCTTTCACACTTCACACATTGTACCCACGTTTGAGTTCTTGTCATCGATTCATCTCTTCCGCAGTATAGACAAAGTTCACTTACATCGACAGACTTTACCAAGATACCCCGTTTAATTTCTTCACGTTTTTCGGCTGGATCGCAGTGACTGATGTGTACAAGTCTTCCCGCGAGAATTTCTTCAATATAATGGATTACGAAAACCCCGCAATTATATCCATCACGTTGTCGAGGATGAGGCGGAATTTCCAGAGACCATTTCATCGGTGATGTAGGGAAAACCTGCAAATTAATCATTCACCAATTTATTTTGCTCAACGTTAAGGAAGGGTATCTTCTAATGAAATGTGGATTTACCTTTTGATAACCAACAATGAAATTATCGAAACGTCCATTCACCAACGTGCTTGCTGTACTACTACTTGGATCGATGCAATAAGCTATAGATTTTATACAATCAATATACAGCAACGTCCAATGATTATTGTTGACTCTAAAAGGGAGGATAACTTTGGAGTGGTTATTCCAAGAACTACGGAAGCGGTTACAAAAATTCGGGGAGCACTGGTTCTCGATTCATTCCGATTCCTTCCATGAAGTATCCACTCACCTCACACGAAACGTAAACTGTATCGTCTTCTTTTTTGGATTCCATTAATACTGCTGCCCAATAATCGATAATATTGTTCGTAATCCATTCCTTGTCGAATAAGGTGATGTAATCATCAGTAAGTATCATAACATTCTTCGTATCATCGTGAATAGCTCTGATTGAGGCCCCAAAAAAGAACTTTGTCCCACTTGAACAACGATAATAGTCAGGATTTAATGTTGTACGATTGTTATTGAATTTTCCCTTTGCACCTGCTCCGCTACGACTTTCTTCAGTATTTTCCCTGGCTGATGAGTGCTCCTTCCTTTTTTGCTTTGGGATGGTCCCCTTTTCCAACACTCCTGGGAATTTTCATTGTCAGGCTCATTCACCCTCTTCAACGGCCGTTGAACAGAGACTTTCGGAGGTGATAGATTCAATCGACGATGAATGGCTAACAGATGTTGGTGACATTGTGTGATGAACCTGGAGGGTTTCGATTCCTTTTGTTTTTCTGCTTTCGTAATCCTGAAATGATTTTCCACTGAAGCGTTGGTAAAATGCGTCTTGTGTGGAGTTGCTATAGTTGACCAGAGCGGAGCGTAGGCAAGAAGATCCTTTATGAAGTAGTCACAGAATGCTGAGGAATGAAATTTGTTTTTGCTACCTTTTCGTTCAATCTTCTGAATATTTTTTTTCACTTTTTCATGGACGCTCTTGAAATGGCGATAAAAAGGACTTTTCTGGTACGTTGCTAACGGTTTCGTCTGTGAGTTGTTCTCGTCATCTTCCTCCTCTTGTTTCGTTCGGTTCAGAATTTCATCAATTTCTGATTGAAGACCACTCGCGTTGAGTGCTAGTTCTACAAATGCAGGAGTCACTTGATCAGTTGCAATGACTGATTCCAAAATTATGAAAAAAGCTTCTACTCGATTAGTCATCGATGTTAAGTTCTCGCTGTGGGCAATCACCGCCATTCCCTCTAGATATACTTTACGCCTCTTATCATTAATGTTCTTCTGCTGTAGCCACCCCGAAACCATCTTCATGATGTGGGCATAACACAGATAATGGCGAATAATATGAGGTGGTAAGGCAATCTGATTCTGGACCTCATTAAACACCAATTGCAAGTATTCCAAGACTGTAAAATTGTTCCAAGCTGCCATGATAGCAGTAATACTTGCCCAGGAACTGTCCGTAACGAATGATGTAAAAGGAGGCCATAATATATTGTTTCCTTCCCAATAAATTCGAATAAATTTACAAAAATCCCGGATCGAAATGGTTGTGTGATCATTCGTAATGAATTCTAAGAGAGGAAAAATTTTGCCAACAATATTGACTACACCAGCATAATAATACACTCTTTTGGTTTTTAGATATGGCTTTCTGACGACGGAACCGGTTGCGTCATAATAGAGAATCAGCTCGTTGTTCCTTTTAAGAAAATCGATTTGCAATTGACTTCCTAAATAGATTTTGTATGGTGCAATAAACTGGCGAATGTAGGGGTGATTACCTTGTGCATCAGAAATACCTAAACAAATATCAATTATATCGTTTGGATGGAAGTCATTTTGGCACATTTTCTCAAACTTTCTGTAAAACATTGAGCCAATGCGAAAATTTATAATTTCCCTTTTCCTTAACGAGTTTTTCATCCGTTTCATTGAGAAGTTCCTCATAAATTGTGTTGGGCATCGCAAATTTCATTTGTTTTTTAATTGCTTTTCGTTTTTCACCACGCAATTGGTAGACCAAAGATTTTTCATGGTTACACTCAGCAGGAGTTGCATAAATACTGATTAAGGTCAATTGTGGTTTTAAATTTTCCTTAATTAAAAAAATTTCGATTTCGTTCTCTTCTTCTTTTCTTTTTTGCATTTCTTCTTCATTGCTTCTTCTAGTCTGGTTTTAAATTGGCGTAAGTTATTGCGCCAAGCAGAAGCTAAATTAGTTCTGAATTTTTCTCTAATATGTCTACGAATTTTGAGATATTGACATATTTTGCCAAAGATTGCTGTCTCCGTGGGGCCTCTTTCTAGATCTGAATTTCGCTTTGCATTGTACACAATTGCTTGAATCGTCTTATCATCATTGAATTTCACTCTTTCTTTTCATTTAGTTTTGTACTCAAATCACTGCATATGTTTTTAGATGAATAAATAGTGAGAGAATAACACATCAGTTTCCGTTGGGAGAAGACGCTATAATGGCGGAAAAGGGGGGTGGTCGTGAAATCCTTTGTGGACGGTATTTTGATCAATGGGGATTTGCAATATGATTGGTGGATTGAATAAAACAATTATTCCTGAGTTAGGTGGAAAGAGGATCATATGAGAAGATGAGTCCCGGGTAAATTCGAAAATCGCCCAGATTTCGCGTCAGGCAGAGATTGTATGTGGGCGAAATGATTAAACCTCATTCCCTCAATAAGTGATCCGTATCATATAGACAGAGATTATATGGATTACTGATTCGACTTCTGTAAGCGAAAAAAAAAAATCACGTAAAGAGAAAGAAAAATTCAAATCGACAAAATGATTGTTTTCTACATCTCATCATTTTCATGGATAATGTTCGATGTGAAACTTGCTTTTTAACTGTTTCCAGATGACGGAAAGCGTGGTCATTTTTTGAAAACATGTCATGTCAAACATTAGTCATAACCTAAAATTCGAATGATATTTAGTCTATATTCGACAACATCACTTAAAGATATCCTCTGTTAATTTTTTTTTATGGTACAGAAGAGCATAAATGATAAACTAAGCTTTTCTGACGAAAAAATCCGGCCATCACAAGAAGATCTTCAATTTTCTGAAACGTGTTTTTTTTTTATTTTTTCGTTGGGTTCGTCAAACACGTAGGAGAAATGGACGAAGATTTTGGATATTGCAGATTTTTGGATAAAATGAAAATGAAAGAATAAACCTCACGACGAAATTTTATAAAAAAAGTGGTGTGACAAAAAGTTTTTCATATTTTATTTTATCCAACGAAAAATTATGTCATGCTGATGGTTTTCACTACGTTATACGCCAATAATATGATTTGAAATCATGATAACCGTCTATGTGTTACCTATCACGATAAAAAATTTTCAAATTCTACCAAATGAAATTGGAAACTTTCAAATTACTCTGTTCCCTAATGAAATATGCCCTGTTAAAGTTTTTTGTCTGCAAACTTCAAGGCCATAACTTTGGCTAAGACGGACACCCATTAAAAGAAAGGTTCGACGATCATTGACGAAAGGTTGAAAGATATTGTATTTTCATGACCCTGTTGATAAACAACTTTTTATTAGCATCAACAAAAAAATCTTATCACTATGCGTATCCCTTTACTATTATACTGCGGTGACTTCCGAAATTGGACTGTTTTTTTAATGGAGAGTGCTGTAAAAAAGATGAATATTTTCTGTATTACTTTATTAAGCCTGATTCAATAATTCTCTTCGATTTTATGAATAATCTATTTGTTTAACTTTTTTAAAAAGGTAACAGTGTTCAACCGATGTCGTCTTTCATTAATTGTTCTCAGTGTGTTTTCAATGCAATAGTTAAACATATAAATTCAGTTTATACGAGTCTGAAAATGATGATTGACCTGATTTTTTGGAATATTCGCAAAGTTTTTTAATGAAAATTTTTCTGCTGTTTTGCTGTGAATAAATATTCGCCTGAAAGTGAAAAGAAGTGTTACAGCATCGATAGGTAGATTGAATAACATTTCGTGAAAGTAAAACTTTTTTTCTTTTTATTAAAAAAAATTTCAACAATTGAAGTATGTATTTGAACAGTTCATCCCCCTCGCCAGGTGCACTTGACATAATATGTTGCAAAATTGCCAATTATTGTTCCCTTCTAATGAGAATTGTACGATAGAATGAACTTAAGGAAACGTCTGTGCATTTCCTGTGAAGCAAAATTCTACATTGATTGTATCAATAGCGAAAAAGTGAAACATCAACCGACACAGCAAAATAGATTTTTTTTCCTTTTCCACCAACGCTGAATCCTATTTCCACTCTGATTGTCATTACAAAGTGGTATCTTCGAAAGACTATCGCCAGACAATGACCCCTCAATAGAATCTGAATCACAAATACTCGAATTCACATGCCAGTTTAGCATATCGGGATCAACTTTATTATAAATGTTATGACACTGTCTAATTGGAATTTTTTCTTCAAGATCATAATTCACTGACTCATTACGTTGACTGAAAAAATGATTCTCATGAATATTTATTTTCGCTTGTTCCGCAGTTTGTCGCAGATATCCATCTACTGATCGCGTAGAACCGTAGGATTTCTTTGAATCAGATGGGATTCCTTCAAGAGGCAAAATTGTGAATTTCTGGGGGTACAATGAAAATTCAATTTCTTGGTGACCAAATGGTGTCATAGGTGTTGTGGTATCAGTTGCATTACTGGAGAATTCCAATTTAGTTTGAGCTAAGATTTCTCCCTCTAAGAATATCCTTAAAGCCCTCTTACTTGCCTGTACGTGTTTCAAGTTAATCCTTGATCGGGATTTATCAATACAACTGTCGAGATCAATTTTAACATTCGGTTTCTTCCGATTAATTTCATTCGGTGATTTCTCCAAATTAGCCAATAAGAGTTTTTTCTTCTTTCCTTGGCCATTACCAATTTTATTGGAACTCTGTGAAGTTATGAACTCGATGATTGGCTGTCACTTAGTCGTGAGAAAAGAGTGATCACTTTGCCGACGATGTTGGTACATCAAAGGAGCTAACAAACTACTATCTTTGCTCTTGTAATGTTCATTGAAGTCTAATCGTACGCTCAAGAGTTGCAGTGAGACATCCTCAGTAGAGGCTAGCATCAAGAGGAATTTCTTCACTTGATCCTGATACGTTTTCGATAATACCTTCAATTGTTTCGATAAAGTCGTGAGATATTTGGTGAATGCATTAATCCTTTCGATTGCATCGGCATCTGCTGTATTGGTTCTTCCCCAAGTTTTAGTCTTTTCACTTTGAATATTGATGAATTTATTTGTTTTCATCCTAGCCTCGTACTCGACTGTAGCTCGTGTTAAGAATGTCTCTTCGATGTTCTGAAGACTCAAAATGGGATTGTAAACTGTACGCAACTGATCTCGTAATTCTTGAGAATTTTCATCAAGAAGAGTTCCTTTCTTAACCGACTCTACAAAATGGTCATGAGCAACAATAATGTCGTCTAGTGATGTCGCTTGTCGGAGATTATTGGCGAAAATATCCCACGAGCACTCAATCACTTCAAATAAAAAGTAATATTGCATTTGGTGGACTAAGTGCACCATTGAACTTGTTATGAGATGAATAAGATTCTGGATTGGCAGCACCTCTGGTATTCTTCGCAAAATTTTGGCTGTCGTTATTTCATGTTTCCATATAGTTGAGAGAATGTATTCCATTCGTTTAGCTTTCCATAAGGAGAAGAATACTGCTTGGTAAGTTCCTCTGCACGGCTCCAATATAGTGCCAATAGGCCCATCAACGTTATAATCAAGCATAAAGACATCCCATCCCGTTTCGTTCTCTGAGGGAGGTAGCATTCTGATGTCTAATCGTCTTTGGACATCAATATCCTCGATCTTCGTGCATGTCGCCCTGATGGCAGTCTCCAACACAGACGAAATATTATGTGGATATAAAGAGTTGGCTGGTTTCGCTAACTGAGGCTCTAATAAATGCATAAGATGCTGAATAAAATGGCCTTGGCCCAACAGAAGATATCCTTTAATCCCCTGCAGATGATCCATAAGTTGGTACTCCTTCGTGAGCACTTCGACAACCCTAGTCGACGTTTCCTTGTACGCAGTTTCCATGATAGTCTGTAGTGGTCCATCAGGATCCATATCAAAGAATGCTTCGACGTTACACTTTCCGGGGCCATCACTGAATATCTCAGCATCCCTTCCATGAAGAGGCGTTGAATCCTTGCAGACCTCTCTGAGAAAATTAATACTCTTGCCTGTTCCCAGAATCTTACGCGCCTGTGATTTACTAATAAAACTCGGAACCATAGCATCTCTCACTAAATACTTCTCATGCCACATCCTATCGCCATTTACATTAGGCCGTGCCTCAATGAAAAATTCCTGGAATGGATCATCCAAAACTCCATCAGTGATCCACCGAATGAGCATGTTATAAAGTGGTTCACAAACACTTTCCAAGATTCTTTTAACGAGTTTTTGAACTCTTGGATCACCATGATGACTAAATTCATAGACTACGGATGCTAAAGCACCGCCTTTCTGTTCTTGGCATGCTCGAACAATACTAGCTAACCATTTTAGAGTTTCCAGAGGGTCATATGCCCACAGATGAAGATGGGAGAGAGTAACAGGTTCGAAACCCATGGATCCATGTGCTCGACTAACTTCCTCCTGCATCATTGCGATTACTCGATAGTACTCAGATAATTCTTTATGTAGAGCAGCTACAAGGCTGTCTGAAACTCTACCAGCACCTTTTGGAGATATTCTCTCAAGACCACGGCGAACAGCATTGTGCAGGTAACCGAGCTCACTGAGACGAAGGACTGCCTGATGATGATAGCGATTGAGTTTAGCTTGGTGGCCTATTTGGAAGCCGTAAGTCGTGTCCAATTTCAATATTCTCCCTTCAATACCCTGGAATGAATAGATGAGTTCTTGGACTAATATATCTTCTGAAATACAGTCTTCATTGAAAATTCTGCTGGTGCTCAGTGGAATTCCTTGGCTGTTGGAGTCGGGTGTATTGACAGCAACAATTTGTGGCTGAGAGCCTGAGGAAGGGGTCTGGCCACTGGTTGATGCCACTGGTGAAATCAATCCCAATCGCATATCGTGTAATGAAAATCTGTCCCGCTCTCCTGATTGACTCATATAGAGTAAAAACACTAGGATTCCAACTCGATTTCTCAGCGGATTGTCTTTTAAGTCATTCATTAGTTTTTCTAGATAAATATTTTCTCTAGTAGAGAGTTTACTTTTTATATGACTGATCACGGATATCTCGTCATCACGAAAAGCATCAACGCCTTGTGTCGATGAAAGCAGACCCAGGGAGAATCTCATGAATCTTCTGATTACCTCTGACAGTTAGAAAGAATTTATAGGTCAATTTCAATTTGCCATTTGTTTTCAATTGAATCAATGCTTGGTAATGATTAACCTCACCTGGTTTTTGCTCCCCACACATCGACATTATCATTTGTTGAATCAGATCGCTGACCGTTTCAGCCTCCGCTGCACTCATGATTCTAAGCTTTTTTTTTAAGTTTTCATAACACAAAATTAATAACAACAATTTTATTTCAATTGCTCATTGGAGATTTTTATTTGAGGAATGTCAAATGCCGTCAAAGAACGCTAGGATCTTTAGACCCAACGTCAAATTGATCACGTGCTATTTTTAGAAAGTCTTCCTAAAAATTCACATGGTGGCGCCTTGGGGCTAATTCCTTTTTTCGCGCGCTTAAAACCTCTACTGGCCCAATCCACCTCACCACCATCATATGTAAATATATATGCATGATTTTGAATCGTCAAGCCGGGCAGTAAGTTCGTTAGATGATGCCGGTTCACCAGAGGAGAAGCAAGGACATTTGTTACTGATTTATAGACAGAATATTGCGTATTAAGTTAATACTACGTTAATAAACGATATAAAACAATCATTTGGTTACAAATTGGTAGGAATCGTTGTTATTTTTCCGGAGATTAACGTTCAGGTGAGAACAAAGAAAGTTGAATTCTAACGTTTTCTAGTGTTTCATTCGAATGTTTCCATTTTTCTGACATGTTTTTAAGATTTGGTGAATTTGGTTATTGTCGATGAGAATTGCTTGAAATTTTGACTAATGTGTTTGAAATAATAACAGAAACCTGTATAAAATTTGAGATTGATTCACAACACCGTATTGTGGTTATTAATTAGTAAAGTGTACAATTAACACGAGCTCGTGTGGGGAAAATAAAAACTTCTGTAAATATCGTGTAAATATAAATATACATATAAATTTTTGCTGAAATTCTGAAAATTTACCCAGGAAGCGGATATAAAACGATAATCAAAATTTGAAAAAACGCAAACCGAAGCCGAGTGTGCTTGAAAAGTTACTTTTCGCACGTGGCGATCAAAAAAATATTAGGTTCTGATTAACTATTTCTCTTTCCAAGACTTCAATACTGTTCGGTAATTGAACTTTCTCATCAATTAAGTATCGGAATAAGAACTAAAATCGTTAAATATTTATTGATTATTAAGAACAATATTTTTTTTTTTAGAAAAATGGCAGAGTCATCAGAAAAATCAAATACATCAAACAGTCAGAATAGCGAGGGGGATAATCCAAAACCAAAAGTTTGGGGTGAAAATATCGACGACCATTGTCCGGTTTACGAATCTGGGCAGTCAGTCGACAATAAAGCAGAGAAGAGATCATCAGATTCGACATGTCAGTTAAAAGGTGTCACAATCAAGGATTTAGTCAAGGAACAAATCTGGTGAGATTTATTTATTAGTCCGTGAAGGAATTTATTTTGTTAATTGACCCTCTTATGATGAAAAAGGAAGATCTATTTTCTGGTGTCAATTTGAAAAGCCGTCTAAAGAATAACTTGATTAATCGCTTCTGAAATTAATGTTATGCATAGGAGTCCTCTCATTCTTCTCTCGGTCTCCTTATTAATTAGTATAACTGAATATACAATTCGATTGATCTTTCAGTCCAATAATCGAAGTGGAAGTTTCATCAGTTCATCCAATGGGCTTATTAAAAACTTCAGCAGGAAGGGATTACCTTCCATTTACAGTTGTTGACGCGACTGGATCCATGATGGTCATGGCCTGGGCAGCTATTGCAGCTCCTCTATCAGAAGTACTTCAAATCGGACAAACCATCAGAATAATCAAGGGTAACGTGCAGAAGGCACCTGAAAGAGATGCATGTCGCACTGAACCAGTGTATCGCATAGCATTGGGTGCACAGTCCAGAGTGGAAATTCTTCTAGAAAATGGAGAAACTTGTATTGTCAATCCAATTTTTTCACAAAATTCAGTTCCAATTAAGTATGAGAAGGGAGATGACCCTCCAATGAAGAAAATCTCCATGACTCCTAAAAACGAGTCTAAAATCTCAGATCTAACGTATCCTCATACTTTCCAAAGCATCAAATTGCACGTGAAATCCATGATAACAGATGGAGTGGCACTTACGGCGAAGGGTTTCAAATACGTCACTTTTGTTGGTACTGATGAGACTGGAGATATTAGTTGCGTATTTTTTGAGCCACATTCTTATGCAATCGGGCCGTCGATTCGGGTAATTGGTTTTTTCGTTTTACTAAACACTTTGCTCCAGTTGGGACGTTTATTTGTATAGCATTTGTGGATTTGTTTAGGACCCGAGTGAATTTATAAATTAAGAAATTTGAAACAAAGTTTTATATGGAAAATTCTGATGTTTATTTAGTATTCACTCATTACTCATAACATTCTCTCCATGACCATTAGCACTGGGCATAGTTATTCAGTAATTTGTAATGTTTAATGATGCAATTAAAGCAGAAAAAATATTTATCAATTAGATAATTTTACCATTTTTTATCAATTTACCAATTTTACTGGGAAAGTAGTTTCAATCAGAATATTCTTCAAATTTAATATTTCTTCATCAAATGTTATATTTGCAGGAAGGAGTTTATTTGCAAATAGAGAGAGGAATAGTGGAAGCACTCGAAGAAGCATTTCAAATTCATTGCAAGAATAATCATCAGATTAAAGTACTGCGCAAAGGTAACGTGAAAATTCTGGAAGAAAAGAAGGATGAGCCAGTAGAACCAGTAGACCGGGCGATGAAAGTCGCAGATCTGAAAGCTCCCCAAATTTGGTAAGTAAATATATATGACCGTTGATTTCTATGATCATTCGTTGTTCAGAATATACAAGGAACAATTAATCCTCCCAAATGGAAGCATTGAAATCAGTCGATTATTCAATTTTCCAATTTTGCCTGGAAATGATGTACAACTGTCTGAAACATAAAAGTACCAAGTTTAACATGCTGGACACATGATGGTCAACTTTTAGAAAAAGGGAACAAGCAGAACAAGCAGTTGATCGAGCCTATTTGACCTATTTGGCGGAGACATTTAATCATTACTTTCTGCATTAGCTTTTTGCGGCGCGAGTCACAATATCAATTTCATTTATACTCAACGTGTAACATTTCGAATATTCTCTGAGTGAGAAACCGAGAATTTCGGGAAAATTCTAACACCTTCGATTGACGAAGGTATATTAAGCCGCTAGGTCCCCGACAACACAACAACATTAAATCAGTTTAATTTCTACATTCGATGTAACATCGCGCCGACAGATGTACCGATTATAATTTAATACCCGCACCCAAAGGGTGGCGGAAAAAATATCCCCGGAAAAAATATCCCGGACAAAATGTCCCCGGAAAAAATATCCCCCCAATCATACATTTCATTTCTGTCCCCCTTTTTTTTATGTACATATTTTTCCAAAGGCGAGGGGGCGTAGAGGGGGGTTCAGGGGCGCAGCCCCTGGCG